TTAATAACTCTTTAAACCTCTTTAGGAAGTCCTTAAGGAACGCCCTATTTACCCCTTTAGTCTCCTCTTTTATTAACTTATAGTTAATGTAATAAGAGAGCTTATCTATTAAGTTTTAATTTTTAAATTAATAACTAATTAATAATAAAGTTAAATAATAATAAGTCTTAAAGGAGTTTTATTTATTTATTATTTAGCTAGAGCTTAATAATAAGGTATTAATAGCTTAAATAGTTAATAATAAATATTATTTAGTATTAAAAGTATAATAAGTAATATCTCTATATTATTATAGCCTCTTAAATAGCTAATAGCTGTACTTTTAGTATATTATATCTTAATTTAACTCTATATAGTTTCTATAATATAAAAGCTATAAGGCGTTATTATTTATCCTTTAGTTAGTATATAACTACCCTAATAGTAAAGTTTAAAGTATCTATTTTAATATATATTAATAGAGTTAAATTAAAATATTAAAGGATTAATATCTTAATAAATATAATATAGAGCTTAAAGAAAGCCTCTTTTATTTTAATAGTTATTATTTACTCTCCTTTGGCTTATTTTATTAATTAGTTTATAAGAGTAATATATACTTTAGAGTAGTTTTTAATAAAATACTAATAGAAACCTATAAATCTTAAGAAGATCTAAATATCTTTAATACTATTAAGTATTAATTAGTTTATAATAGCTTTTACTCTCTCTTATTTTATAGTAATACTTTTTAATAATACTATAAAACTTAAAAACTTAATAGTATTAATATAGAATTTATACTTCTTTAAGTTAATATAGAGGCTAATAGTAAATAGCTAGCTTAATATCTATTTAACTACCTCTATATATTATTTTTAAGTCTTTATAAAGATTAAGATATTATTTAGGTATATAATATAAATAATATCTATTAAGCTTATTAAAGTATTATTAATATAAAACTAAAATATTACTAATATATTTATTAGCCTAAAAGATATAACTTAGTACTTAAAGTATTTATATTATATTCTAAATACTATCTTCTATTTATTATTTAGCTTAATATATATTTAGTAATATATATTCTTAAGGTTTAATTTTATATATTATAAAGCCCTTTATAGCTAGTTTAAGATCTTATTAATTAAGAGTAATAAAGTATAGTTTTTTACTATAATATTATTAAGGCCCTAATAGTTTGTATATAGCTTTAATTTACTCCTCTTTTTAGATATAAAGAGTATTAATACTTTAGTTGAGCTCTTTAAAACTTTAATCTAATTTTCTTTAGTATTAAAGATAGATATTATTAAAGTTTCTCTAATTCCTTTTCTATTAGTAGGTAGATAGAGCTTTATAGTAGCGTTTTACTTTCTTTTAGGTTAATAGAGTAAACTTAAGCCCTTTCTTTTATTAGCTTATTTATTTTATTAATATTAAATATATATATTTAGTCTTAATATTCTTTTAGTAGTAGTAATATATTTTTCTTTTAGGGTTTTAAGTTAATATTTAGTAGTCCTTTAGACTTACTTTTTTCTCCCTCCTTATATTCTATTACTATTAATATAAATACCTACTTTAATTATTTTTTTACCTTATTAATAGCTTTTACCCCTTAAATAAGTAATATATTATTAAGTTTAAAGTAATAAGTCTATTTTAATATTTTCTACTTAAGATTTAGCTTTATTTATCTCTCTTAAAGGATCTTTAGAATAATATTATATTTATTAATATTATTAATATTAAATATATATAACTATATTCTTATTATATTAAGGTTATTTATAACTTTAATAACTATAGTTTTTATTTTATATTTAAGTACTACTCTTCCCTATAAAGTATATAGTATAGGTCCTTTTAGCTTTTTTAGCTCTTTATTATAAAGTATTTTTTAGTTTATAACGTTCTTATTAGCTATTAAGTTAATAAGTATTATACTCTTTTTTTATCCTCTCTTTATATAAATAATAACTTTAGCTTTAAAATACTAATAGGGCTTTAGGTCTTATAGAACTTTAATACTATTAGCCCTTATTACTATAGTATTATAGTATTATTCTAAATATTAAGGTTTTTTATAGTAGTAATATATAGACTTAAAGTAGTTATATAATATATATTTAAGCTAGCTATAGTTAAAATATATAGTAATACTCTATAGCTAGATAGCTACTAGGGGTTAAAATATACCTTTTACTTTAACCTTTAGGGTAGCTATTATTTTACTTAAAGGGCTAATATTTTAGGTTAAAGGGGTAAATTTTTAAAATATCTCTCTTATTAGGGTAACTATTATTAATACTAATAGGCCTCTATTTCTCTTCTTAAAGACCTTTAAGGTTCATTTTTAATAGTTAGCTTTATTATTTACTCTCTTTATTATTTTAGCCTTTTTAATAATATTATTAAGTTCTTATTAAGTTATTAAGAGCCTATAAGCTATAATTATAATTTTTAGTTTTAATAAAAAGTAGTTAATAATATTAATAACTTAAGTATACTTTAGTTAAGTATTAAAATATTCTACTTTAATAGCTTTATATAGGTCTATAAATTTCTAATATAATTAGTTTAGCTTCTATTATATTATATTTAGCTTAATAACTATATTAAAAGCCTAAATATCTATATTATTAATATTACTCTTTAATTATATTTTTATTACTCTTTAAGTAATTAGCTCTATATAATAATTATATATATTTATAATATAGTTAATTTAATATTATAAAAATAAGCTTTTAAAGTAAAAAGTTATATATTATACCTTTATAATATTAAATTTAAATTTACTTTCTCTTATAGTAAACTTATTATTTAGCTTAAATAGGAACTTATATAAATTAAACTAATTACCCCCTTTATATTAAATAGGTATAAATTACTTTATTTATTTATTACTCTTTAGCTTTTTAGGTTTAAGCTAAAGAGTAATAAGTTTAAGTTAGCTCTCTTAATCCTCTTCTATATTTTTACTCCTCTAGAGGGCTTTTAACTTCTCTAGCTTCTTCTTTTTTTATTACTTACTTATTTCCTCTTTTATTATTTAGTTAATTTTATTTTTTAATATATTACTATTATTAAGGTTTCCTTATAGCTTTATAATAGCCTCTCTATTATTAGGGGAGATATTTATAGTTAATTCTTTTACTATATTTAATTTATTATTATCTCCTTAAGGGGTATTCTATATTACTCTCTATTAAAATACTATTATAGTCCTATTAGTTAGTATACTTAAGGATAAATAGAAGTTTAAATATATTAAGTTAGATTTATACTAAGTAATAAGATCTCTTATTATATATATATTACTATTTATATAACTATTTAAACTTATTCCTTTTAATTTTTCTATAGCCTTATAGCCCCCTTTTAGCCCCTTAGGTAGATTAATAGTTAATTTAGTATACTAGCCCCCCTCTAGTAGACCCCTAGCGCCCCCCTAGCCCCCCTCTACTAGACTATCCCTAACAGCGTTATAGCTGGGAACAGCCTACTTTAGGCTTAACTTAGAAGCGTCTAATTAATCTATAGGTCTATTTACTAGTGTGATTTTAATTATCTAAATTAAAGATGAGGTCTTTAATAAGGGGACTAAAATAGAACTCCTTTATAACGTTAAGGGAGAGGCCTCTTATAATGCTCTCTTAAGAACACTAATATAGATTCTGATAACGTCGGTTTTATATGTATCCTATTGGGTATCTATATGTCTTCAAATTTAAACAGAAGTGGACATAGACGTAGTGATTGAAAATTACGGTCGTTAGAGAGAGCCCGTAGTAATCTACTGAGTTTGACGTATTCCTTGACTTAGACAGCAAGGGTGTCAGGGTCAGTATGGATTATCTTCCGCTATTTTGGGCTGCACAAGCACACTGGCGAAACGGTCTATATCGAATATCGCCCCGAAAACTTACGTGTATGTATTAAAAAATAGCAATTACTTCACCGTTGTCAAGATTATCGGCAGTGGAGAGGATCTGGTAGAGGACGCTCTTCTCATTCTCTTGTTCAAAAACCTGACTGAGCGTCAGCTGGTGTGTGAGAAAATGGTCCCCGTAAGTACTCAAGAAATACGTTCGGTTTCTCTCAAGTTTTCTCATTCTCTATGTCTACACTTGAAATCTCTGAGATGTCTTTCAAAAAAAAAAAAAAAAAAAAAAAAGAAGAGAGGGAGACTAGATCTTCAGTTAGTCTTCATCAGACCCTGCAAGTAGTTCTCAAATAATTGAAAGCAAGGTACCCCAGGATTAACTTAGCTGGAGCTGATAGCAACACCGTGCATGCCTTCCAAATTACGTCAAACCTGTTCGTTGATAACCCGTCGGCAAAAGAACAGACGATCGGCTAATTTTTAAGCTTACATGCCGGGGTCGACCCCATCCCCAGCCGTTCCCCTCATAAACAATGCGGAGGGAACAGGAATTGAGTGGGGAGACTTTCCCACGGCGAACACGCAGTTGTGGATGCTTCGAAGGGATCCAATCGGCCTCGCCCAAGCAGCCGGTGCCAAGAACTTCGGAAGAGATATCGGCGACGGCTTGCGAGGAAGATAAATAGCTATCTCCCCCGCCAAGATATTTGACTCCAGCAGTCGGTGGAGAAGCATTCAACTCCGCGTCGTTGGTTCGTTTGTGCGGTGAACAATCACCCAGGCAAAAGAGAATACAAGCTGGGCATTTCATAGTCCCGGAACCGGCAGCGGATGCCAATGCACCCCACCTTGTCCTTCCGGAGAAGAAACCAGTAAATGATGCCGATTACGAACAGCCGAGGAGCGGCGCGAGGGCAGAATTGTCAAGACTGCGAGCCGAAGAGACGGTATTTCCCTCAATTATGCGCTTACGACAATCCACGTGTGCCGAGAAGATGGATACGACAAGAGATAGGAATGGCCGAGTAATCTTGGCGCTGGGGAGTATATAAAACTCAACACCTACGGTTCCCCCAGTGAAGAAGACTCTCTCACTAGATCCTATGCCAACGAGAATCTCATCATCATGGGTATCAAAAGCATCTCCGGCAAGCTCGTCCTGGCTCTTGGCGTGAGCTCAGCTGCTGCATCGTCAGTACTGCCTCGCCAGACCAACGGTTCTAGCTCTGGTGTCAGTCCGTACTTCGCATCCATCTCCGACTATGTCGATTCCATCGTCGATGAACTCTGGCCTATCAACAAGGAGATCCACGACAACCCCGAGCTTGGATACGAGGAGGTCAAGGCACATGAGCTCTTGACTGACTTCATGGAGTCCCATGAGGGTTGGAACGTCACGAGGTCTATCTACAACATCAGCACTGCCTTTGTCGCAGTATTTGAGGGAAGCGGGGATGGACCTATCGTGTCTTTCAACGCAGAGTACGGTAAGTGTCACGCCACATCTCGAGTTTTGACTCACCACTGAACTATCCAACAGACGCCCTTCCTGGTCTCGGTCATGCTTGTGGTCACAATCTTATCGCCACGGCTTCAATCGGTGGAGCACTTGCCACTGCTGAGATCATGCGTGCCGAGAACCTCCCAGGCAAGGTCATTCTTTTCGGGACGCCTGCTGAAGAGAGTGAGTATTCCCCAATGCCCCCGGTGACATGCCCAAGCTAACAAATCCAAGGTCTTGGAGGCAAGGTGAAGCTTCACGAAGCTGGCGCATTCCGTGATCACAATATCGACATCTCTCTCATCACCCACCCAACCAACGGCGGTGACTCGCCGTACATGATCACAACCTCCACCGACCGATTTGAGGTCGAGTACTACGGAAAGGAGGCCCATGCCGCTGCGTCGCCCTGGGAGGGTATCAACGCCCAAGACGCTCTGATCGTTGCCAACAACGCCATCGCGCTACTCCGCCAGCAGACGCGGTCCACGGACAAGATCCACGGCATCATATCATCCGCCGGCTCCCGCATCAACGTCATCCCTGCTCTCGCAGAGGCATCCTTCCAGATCCGTTCCGCGGACAACATCGCTTTGGAGGAGTGGACGGAAAGGGTTATGAAGTGTTTCGAGGCCGGCGCCCTGGCCACCGGCGCCGAGCTCAACCTCACCATGCGGCCTTACGGCTATGACAACATGGTCAGCAACGACATCCTGGCCAGCTCGTATGCCAAGTACTTCACGGAGCTTGGTGGAGAGGTGCCCAGTGCCGAGATCGACAAGCTCCGAGAGCCGAGCGGAAGCACCGACCAGGGAAACCTGAGCCACGACTTCCCGACCATCAGCCCCTACTTCGGCATCACCAACGAGAACGGCAGCGTGCCTGACGGCGGTCCTCACACTTCGGCGTTTGAGGTTGCGGCTGGTAGCAGATCTGCATTCGACAAGGCGATTATGGTTGCTAAGGGTATTGCTGGTGTTGCTGTTGACGTTCTCACGGTGGATGGCCTGCTGGACCAGATCAAGGAGGAGTTCGAGGCCACTCAAGAGAGGCGCAGAAGGCGTCGCTCTGTCTTTTGAGCTCAGGACACGAAATCGGGGCTTATGAACGAATGACTATTACTTGTCTTAGTAAATAATGACCTCAAACGCCTGTTAAGTGGACTATTGATGTCGCTAACCTGTTATTTCTGCAATCAACGCATTCTCAAGTTGAAACAGTGATGCCAAGTGAGTCAACGAAATTACATCGAGCTTAGTTCTCAGATGAAACACGTTTTTATTTAGTGGGTCATTGATTAAAGTGACGTTCATTGCAATTTCATTCACTGGCGTTTGCTCCTTATTTCACGCGTTTCCTGTGATAATAGCAGCCGCTTGTTCCGCCATTGCGTATAACGGACCCATCAAATGAGCAGCCATAGGTACAGGCAGAACAGAGGCATCAACAACGCGCAGGCCCTTGACACCCTTGACGTTGAACTCCGAGTCGACGACCTTGCCCATAGCACAGGTGCCGTGCGGGTGCCAGGTGGTAAGCCCGCCGTCAGCCAGACGAGAGTTGAGATACTCGTCAGTGTCCTCCAGAGTCGCGGCAGCAATGCCATTGGGTGCGGTCTCGCCGAGGATGTAATCCTTGCCGAATGTTGTGTTGAGCATGAGGTTGGTGATTTGACGAACTCCCTCACGGTAGACATAGCGATCAACCTCAGTGTCGAGGTAGTTCAGGTTGATGACTGGTCCGTCAGCGGGGTCAGACGAAGCGATGCCGACGGTGCCTTTCGATGTGGGCATGAAAGAAACGAGGTTGGTGTAGATGTGCGATCCATCCATGGGAACGACGGGGTTCGCAGCGCTGTAGGCCTGGTAGATGACGAACGTCTCAAGGAATGTTCGGTCCGTCTTCAACAAAGAATGAGAAGTGGCATCAGGGGTGATGCCCTCGTCTTTGGCAATGGCAGCTGCCAATCCGGTCTTATCCACGCCGGTGGAGGTGACCCAGTCGATCGGGTATCCCATACCGAACTCTGGTCCCTCAAAGAGTTTGTTGCCCGAGCCAACAGCGTAGCCGTTCTCGGGGTTTTTGAGTTTCCAGTATTGGTAGAATGACATATGATCCATCAGGTTCTTTCCAACTTCGGGTTGATCCAGCTTCACAGAGATGTTGTGCTTCTGGAGCTCCGCCGCGTTGCCGATACCAGAAAGCATAAGGAGCTGAGGCGATCGATAAGCTCCAGCGGCAGATATGACGTTGTTGGTCGAAATCTTGGTACCGTTCGCGAGCTGTACGCCGACAGCTTGAAGCAGGCCAGCAGTTGAGTTACCAGCGAGCAGGACCTTCTCAACAAGCGTTTCAGTGAGAACAGTGACGCCGTCGAGAGGATAGATGACGGGAGGAAGTTGTCGAATGCCATCACGGCGAGTCTCGGTTAACTCGGCCCGGCCAATGTTATCGCCGGCGTTGCTGTCGAGATCGGGAAGCTCGGGCACGCCGAGTTCGTCCCAGCCAGCAGCGACCACATCGCGAAGCGGATAAGCACGGCCGGTAGAAGATACAGAAGCAACGTGGAGAGGACCGCCGTTGCCGTGCTGAGCGGGGTTGCTTGAGCTGAACCAATCTTCGGCCTTCTTCATGTAAGGTAGCTGGTTTTCGTAGCTCCAGCGCGGGTCGCCAACGAGCTCTGCCCATTAGTCATAATCACCCTTTGGGCCACGCGTGTATCCACCTTATTCTGTCAGTTGCGTCTTTTGGTGAATGAGTCGAGTCAGATCTGCTCACATGCATTGATAGCAGCACCACCACCGAGTCCTTTGCCTTGGTTGAAAACAAATGTGCGGTCGTTCAAAGCGGCGACGGGCTCTGTTGGGTATTGCCAATCCAACTCGCCACCCATGAGATTCGTGGCATTGGCATATAGAATGTCGGTACGGGACCTGGTGTCCTGGCCAGCCTCGATCAGGAGGATGTTGAGCGAGCTGTTGTATTCGAGCATGCGGCTCGATATTACGGAGCCAGCGAGGCCACCGCCGACGATGACATAGTCCCACACAGCAGGCAGCATCTTGAATTAAATTATTAGGTTCCAAAGGGAGAATGCCCCCAAGAGAAGAAACAACAATAAGATACGGCAATTAGATTTCGCGACCAAAGGACAGGCCAGACAGAGGTAAATCCTGGCCAAGCGCGAGGACCTCGATTGCTCATACAACACAGCACCTCCGCTGGCTTTATACGTTTAACGGTGGAGGAGGACCTATGTCTCTTTAGTCCTCGGGCTTCTCAAATGTCCGTCGTCAATGAAGACTAGTCTTGGTCAATGAAAGTATGGGCTGAGACCCCTCACCAGGTATTGCCTTTCCCCCATTCCGGTGGCGCAGGTGGTGATAGCAAGGACGCGAGCGGCGGGACCCTCTCAAATCATAGGGGTTCGGCATACGTACTCTCAAATTTCTTAGCCTGTTGACATCGAGAAGAATGTCACATTTGGTAATGCCTGTTGGTGGTGGATACTTGGGATTGATATTGAAGACAAGTCGGGAAGTTTGTCCGCGACAGGGTGCTCGCGGCCCACATCAGTGGCCGCTCCCTTTTCACAAATATTTTGGCCTTGCCCATGAAGGAAAACCAGCTTCTCAACCAAGTAGTGTATATCCAAACAACTGAGTAGTGTTGTAGAATCTCCTCGAGAAATGAGTGATATTCCAACCGGGACAGTATTCCGTGGGAGACAAGCAGACACGTTCGTGTAGTTGTCTCTCTGAAACGCCTTACAATTATATCACATATGACTATTGGGAATCCTGCATTCTTGTTGGTGTTGTTGGTGTTGTTGTCAAGAATGGCCAATCAGCGAATGTAGCCTATATCCCTGCCCGATTGCGGGAACCGGACTGGACCCGGTTCCGGGTTCTGACCGATGGTGGTCCCTTATCCTGGACCCATGCCGAAGATCGAGGGACACCATTAGCACAGAGTCTGTCCTAATGGTCTGTAATCAAGTAAACGTACTGTTTTCAAGGAGATTCAGTTTCTGCAACAGTGTGGATATCCAAGATCACGATGACATAGTTGAATACAGGCTGCGGAGCTGTCTTTTAACTCTTGAGAGGCCAATTCAGAATTATAACAGAGCTTGAACAATGTTCTTACAGTATGTGAGCCTAGATTATTTCATATGCTATCAAGTATGAAGTTTATCTTCCATCGCACAGCTGCGGCGGCCGATACCTTGTCGACTGGAACATGAATTCGGTTCTGTTGGTGCTGGCCCTAGCAAGTTCCACGCCAATGTCGAATCATCTGGCTCGGGTACAGCCTTGGCTAAGGGTCGAGGCCGACGCTAGTCGCGCATGGGGATGTATCGTTCGACTTTATTAATTGTCTTCTTGTTGGCTAGCACCAACATCTGTTGAAGATTCAAGACCCTGGTTAGTGGACATGGCTCACGGCAGAATGGGGCAAGTGGTCTGGAATACGCCTACCGGACTTCTTCCTGAGCTAAATCGCTCCACTTTCGAATAGACATGATGTGGCCAACCGCATAAGTAGGTAGCATTACCGGAACCGAGCCTCCATTTGACATGATGTTAAACAACGCAATGGGGTCGTCACCGTAGGCTTGGACGGTTTTCACCATCTTCGTGTAAAACTCTGTTCACTGCCTTAGCCGTGCGCTTTCAGATGAGAGCGATGTGATAGAAATCTCGGAATCGATTGCCGTACACGGCATTGCCAAGCTGAACCGCCAGGACAACACGGCAGCGGATGATCGAGACATCCTGATTTGTGAAATTGTTCCCACGTATGGCAGTGAAGATTTGAATGTCATGGGCCCAGATCGTTGGTACAAGGCTATCGACCCATGACTAGTTGACAAGGCAAGGCAATGTGACCCCGTCCGAACCCACGACCCATCCGATGTACCTTTCTTCAGTGGGAGGGCATCAATCTTCACAGACATTTGGCCCTGTCAATGTTGCTGAGACTATTATCAGTGTGATCGGGATGGTAGCTTCTCATGGCTCCAGGCAGTCACACCATCAGGGGCCACTGACGAGGGCGTCTCGGTTCTGTTGGTACCAGGGTGTTCAGAAACTAGCATTGCTACATGAATCAGGGTGAAGAGCTTGATATGTAATCTTCATCCGTTCATACATGTGTTGAAGGTTGCCGAGGTCTGGGCGATCATGTCATGTTGGATAAGAAAGGGGTGACGGTAGGAAAAACCTTGAGAGCGCAAAAGGACATCGTGCAGATTTGCTGGCATTGTCACTTGTCCCGCGACAATTCTTTCCAGCCTAGATCTTCTGCTGCTGTCGAACATCGATCCACGCCCATCGAGGGCCTTCTTTGCTGGTATTGATAACTACAGCTTGAAAGAAAAAATGGCCGACGCCGCTGACTTGGAGCCGATCACGACTGTCATCGTCCCAATTGCGCCAACTGCCGATGCTCTGCAGGTTATCTACACAAACATTGTTCTGGTGGTTTTGGTGTCGATATGGACAGGATTGCGCTTGTATTCTCGACACATGCGTCGAGTGCCCTTCGGCGTGGATGATCACCTCTACATGGTGTCTCTGGTAAGAACTTCGAAGATCAGAGAGGCACAACCTCCGTTTAAGTGCTTACCTGTCAGATTTTATTCTACGCATTCGTCGTCATTCAGTTTATGAGTACGTTCTGCTCTTCTTGAAAGCTCTTTCGTCACCGTAACCCATACACAGCACTTCTTTTCTCAAGATGTGTCGTAGCTGACGTTCCCCTCTAGTGCAATTCTTAGGAGGCGCTGGTCATCATGTTTCCAGACTTCAACCGTGGCACATTGAAAGGCTCATGAAGTTCGGGTAGGCTACACAAGTCATATACGCCTTGTCGCTAGGCGCTCTCAAAATCAGCATATGTTGGATGCTTCAACGTATTTTCTTCATCAGACCTTTCAAGGTGAGAATTTTCTTTTGGGACCCTCACACTACTTGATATCTAGCGTCGTGTGGCATCATGACCTTCTACTTACGATACTGAGCAAATGCTGACATTATGCTTTTGTTCTCAATAGATCGCAGCCTGGGTCACCATGGGTCTCGCTACATCATGGATGCTCATGACCATTCTCATAGGCCTACTGATTTGCAGGCCAATTGCTATGCAATGGGATCCAACAATTCCGGGAGGCGTCTGCGGCGATCAGGTCACAGCTTTCGCTGCCGTTGGCGTGGTTGATCTCATCGTCGATGTCATCATTTTCGTGTTACCCATTCCCATGGTTTTGAAGCTGCAAGTTTCACGTGCTCACCGAATTGCACTGATAAGCATCTTTGGCGCTGGCGTTCTGTACGTTATCATACCATCGAGTCGGACGTCCATTTACAGACCTCCATCTACAAAGCTGTTAACAACTACTGACTACGATCCCGCATCACAGGACCATCGTGTTTGGCGCTCTCCGTCTTGCATCCGTCTTCGCCGTTGACTTCCTCGACTTTTCATACACATCACCGACCGCCATGATCTGGGCCTCAGCTGAGGTTGGAGTTGCGCTCATGGTCTCCTCCTCACCGATTCTCCGCCCAGTCTTTGACCGCGTCTTCGGCCGATTCATTAGCACCTTGCGTTCAAGTGCTGGCCGAACCGACCCAAACATAAGCTATTACGCCGGCGGTAAATCCGGGGCAACCGGTCCTCACACCCTGATATCTGCCGCGAAACACCCATCCAGATTTCCGGGCGGATTCATGGCCATGAGCGATTCCGACGAAAACTTGGAGATGGAAACAATGGGCCGGAAGGGAAGCTTACAAGCTGCGAAGATTTCAAGTGGTAGGCAGAGGTTAGATCACGTCCATGGTGAATTGGAAGGAGGCCATGTTCACCGTGATGATGCGTCAACAGACAAGATATTTGTAAGAACAGAGATTGTTCAGCAGACAACATAGATAATTGCATGCAAGTCACTTTACTTGCAGTTTAACCGATTACCACCGTCGAATTCGCACTTGTCGTGGGATGTTGGTTCCGGTTGGTCGACTTCCATGTAATTCTCCTAACATCCGTACCCCTGGCACAACTTCCGATCACCTGCATGATCATCTTCGCTTCGAATGCTCATGCAAGAGCACACTTGTGCACCTTGGCAAGCGAAGTAGCGGCACAGCATATGCAGGCTCCTATAGCGTTATCCAGAAACGACCAAGTTTCCCTGTCACATCACCGTCTCTCTTCCATCGCCAGAGCAGACCGAAACAATGGTCAAGACCATCTGCACTACGAGCCCTCGCTCCTTCATTTTTTGTGTCGTCGCCGATATCGACTCACCACTTGACATGGAAACACAAGAGGGCAGCCTGAATTAGACTGATAACGCACCTTTGTCGCAACTTGAGTCGTACAGCGAAGACGGTTTATGATTGCCCGAGTCAATTGGGACCTCAGAATGTAGATCGTAGTCTGGCCACGAGTGGTTCAATTGTATGTTCTATGAAGCTCAAAATTTATACAGGAATAAGCCGTTCGCATTTGAGTAAGACTGCGATCCTTACATGTTCTTCTCGTGTTTGACTGGACGCCGCGGTACTTGCGCGATGCTTTGCTGGTGTCGTTTCGCGTTCTGGTTCAACCTTCGAGGGTGGCTGTCAGGAGCTCAAGAGCTCATAGCCGGAACAGTGATCTTCTCAATGGTCCACTAAACTAACAGTTAGCACCTCCGTCCCGGTTCTCATCTTATCCTGTCATTGCGGAAAAAGAGCTTACAGTCTTGCCACCATCAGTCGTCTTTGGGGTCGTGTAGCTTCCGCCAGACTCGCCGTAGATGGTTGAGCCGAAGTTCGCATCCGCCTCGGCCAAAACAATGGTGGTGTTCACGTAGTACTGGGGCTCAGTAGTGCCGCTGGCAGCTACGCCGTTGCTGTCCTGCAGCTCGATGGCAGTGTTCCAGAGGGTCGACTTCTGCTTGGAAACCTTGGTGTAGGTCGACAGCACGTCGCCTGTGACGGCATCGGTCATGGTCTGCGTCCATGAGTACGACGACGTGTCCTTGAGTTTGTAGTCGAAAATGATGCCGTTCTCGTAGTTGGCGTCAGCCGTGGTCTTCTCTCCGACAAACTGCATCGTAGCGCCGGACGAGTCCAGGCCGTAGACCTCGCTTGAGACACACCACGTGGAGTCGGCGTTCGCTCCGGTGCACTCGCTTTGTCCGGCCGGGTATGAGCCGACGATGGACTGGATGAGATCCTTGCCGTCTCCCTCACCGCCAACACCGATCCAAGTGAACATGTATCCCTTCTGGTTGGAGGGCATCTTGCCGGGGTACATCGTCGATGTTGTCGAGATGATCTCGGAAGTAGTCGCTTGGAAGCCGATGATGGGACCCCAGCTCACATCTCGCCTGCTGAGTCTGGGGTGTGTAGCAGCCGCCGAAGCCGCAAAGAGGGCGACAGTGTTTCTGAGATGCATGATAGCTGAGTAAAAGGAGTGACTGGAATGAATGACTATGTCGAAAGAAACGAACTGAAATCCTTTGCAAAAGGACTGAATCGAAACGAATGGGCTGACACAAAGTCACATTGAGAATCCAGCTGGGCATCAGGGCGGTTTTGATCATTCTCGTGGGTCGGGCAATATCACGGCAAGAGAGGATCGGCAGGCGGGCCAGGGTCGCGCACGGGGAATTGATATGGATGCCCCTTGTCAGATGAGACCATTTCAGCCGAATTGTTTTGCAAAGATGAAAGTACGGGGTCGAGACAAGCTCAATGGAGCAAATTAATCTAACGGAAGTCCCCAAAACCACCAATGGAAACCTCGCAACAAAAGCTTGTGGGCTTAATTTCCCGAGTATCCGCGATATGGCCAATCTCTCAATGTTTGACGGGTCCGAGTTGGATCATCTTGTGAGTCGCGGCCCCAGCCGAAATCTTTATCAGGAACAGCTAACACGCGGCAGTAAGTGAAATAAGTAGATTGCTGCATCACAGGGCACAGTTCTGCTCTTAGCCTCATTCTCAGAAGTCCCCTTTATTTAGTGCAATCGAACCGCAACATGAGATTGAATTCGCTCCATCTACCATGCTCTGCTCTTTAACAACAACAGTAGACCGGGAATTAGAGTAACAAGCATTCCATCAGTATTAAATCATAAGCATCTTGGGCTTGGTTCGGCCCAAGTGGTGCTGTTAGGCAACACAATCCACATCGCGGGCCCCCAGAGACCAACCTAATGCTCCGCACCATGAACGTTGCTAACTGATTTTGCGACAAGTAAAACGCCCTCTCCTAATCTATAGATGATCGACGCTACCTAACTCAGGTGAGATCTCCCGATACTGAGCCTGTATTTATCTGCAGTAGTCAGTGCATCCGATGCCACATTCTTGGGCGTTGGTTTCATCTGACTTAGCAGCAGGATTACCACTAAGGATCTATAGCTAGGTAATAATCGTTACGGTGCCAAGTTCGTTGCCCATTTCATCATCACTTTGAAGAGAAACTCTCAAGACCCGGATGCATTCGAAAAAGAGACAGTGTTTGTTGGAGAGAAGCCGACCAGCAGCACCAGTTGATCTCAACGATCATGAGAGTCCTCGGTAACTCATCCTCGACGCAGAGCTGATGGCGTCTTGCGTTTGACAAATCATTACTCAAAGTCAAAGATTCGCACCAGCTCAGCTGTGACGAATCGTTGACGTCGAACGAAACTAAGCATCCTGTTGATGGCGAGGAGGATTGATAGAGCGCTGTGGGGGTCAATCTTGGTATCGTGAGAATTTACTAGAACTTCGCTATCCAAAGTGACCACACACTCAAGATACTTGATGTGTTCGTTAGTATGATACTAATACTTCAGGTTCGCACGTTGCATACGCCTAGATCATATCAGATTGTTAAACCGTCAAACCCATGGGGGCCGAAGTTCACTGCGTCGGTTAACTTCAGAGCAAAAATGAATTCTATCTGTCACATGGCTGAATAATCCAATTTCTGCATCTCGATATGACCCAAAAGTCCAGCCCTCTTTTTTATAACTTTATACGCCCTGCCCAACGAACGAAGTTTGATCATAGGGCTGAAGATCGACGTTATCAAGGAGTCGGTTCAGGCTTGGCGTGAGAATCCCCACTGAAACGGCTTTCATTGCATCTTGATTTCGACCCACCGTCATACTACTTGCTCGGGCTGTCGTGCTGGCAACGGGAAATAGTCCAAAACTGAGATTGATGACAGAGGATCCCAGAGAAACGATGATGAGGCAGAGGGATGAGGTTGAGTTGACCTACGATGAGAAGATGTTTTCATGCAAAGAAAACGATCATAGAAACAATGAGAATATGCTAGATTATCTCCCAGTTTTCCATAGCTTATTCAACCGAATTACCCGAAGAAGGGGTTGGCGAGAGCAAACTCTGGAAAGCGATCCAGTTGCTCTTATCGGTGACGAAAAAGACCGTGCAGACGGTCGACAAAGTCCTCCATCGAGCTCCGATGCATTCTTCTAGATCCAAGTTGAGCGGCGCTCTGAGCAAGGAAAGTCGGTGCCACACGTGGCACATCCTTGCAACGAATTCACGTTTCTAAACTGCATGCTCAGCGTTCCTGGCATATTGAACACAAGGTGAAATGTACAGTGACAGCATTTCCTGCGCAAGGCTTCATCGAAGAATCAAATCGACTTGCTGTCATTAGTGAAAAATGCCTGGCATTCCACATACATCATTCCACAAGTGTTATTCCTGATTGAATACATGGACAGTGACCACAGATTAGAGGTAGTAAGGAGTCACAAGGTGAGGTAGCGAGGAGGAGATGCAAGGAAAACCGACCGCACAGAGGTATGCAGAAAACGACTTCACCAAGTCATAGAGTCATACATGACATATTATCAGAATCTCTCACTACATAGATACTAGCTCGGAAATTTTCCTCGATTGGGTGAACCATGAGAGGTCCAATCTGACACCAAAGAAGACTCGCAAAGAAGACTTCCGTCCTCCTGGTCTTCGAATAGTAAGTGCCACATGTTAGACGTCCTTTTGGCAAATGATGTTTCGATGTTGCCCGGCATCGGCCTTCTTTTGAGCTGCCATAACACCATGCTGGCGATGCTAGATGAGACCTTCATACATACGCATACGTACATATTGTTGGTAGCTTGGAGCGAAGGAGTGCGCGAGTTTTTCACAACGCGTGGAACTCCACTTCGGACCACCCCCGCTACGGAAAATGGGACGAGAATCTGATCCGCAATCAGGCTTCAATCACCAACATTCGACACTTCGTAAACCCTCTCGGTCTTCTGCCTCGCTCAGATCATCTAGAATTCTCACTTGGGAAGCTTCAGCTGGCTGAACTCCCTGTCATCAGGGGCCCAAATGCAAAGATTCATCTCACAGTGAGCAACACAGATCGTTTCTCACCCCTGTTGACATGGGCCTACCCAGTTTTCTTAGACCTGTCAACCCAGTTGTCCCGGTTCATCTTGTCGACGGGATTGGCTGAAACCTGGTAAGCCCTTGACTCGTAATGGGGCTTATTGCCGTTTTAATCTTATCAGATGCCATCTCGAACGGCATCGCGGACCTTGGCGCGCTAAGGCCCGGAAAACCTTGAATGGCGGCGAAAACATGTCCGGAATTCAAGACCACATCTGCATTCTTCTTACGTGTTCTCGCACTTCCGACCGGACCCGAGTTCTAGGTCGTTGGGACGAGCTTGCGAAGCAGTAGATAAAGGACGTTGGGTAGCAAGAATCATGGTTGCGTTTCGGTCGCTCTCTTGGTTCTTCAAGTTCTTTCTCCAGTCGCTTCAATAGTCTCTACCGGGAGTCTGGAACCTTTGCCAAGATGGAGAACCGCTCAGACGTCGAATCCCACCGGGAGAAGCAACCCGCGGAAGCCGTCGACGAACTCCCGGGACTCACCCCCTCCACATCTTCAGAGAGCAGCAAGGCGCAACCGCCCATGTACTGGAAGTTCGCCGCCGTCATTCTCATCTCATGCATCAGCTTCGGATCGTCATGGAGTTCAGGCATCACGGGAGCTCTCAAGTCGACGCTCAAGAAGGAGCTGGGCATCAACAACAAGCAGTTCTCGCTTCTCGAAGCCAGCGAGGACTTCATGGTTACCCTGCTCATCCTCACGAGTGGAATGGTGACTGATAGAATTGGCGGTGCTGGGGCTATGCTGTACGGTGAGTTGTCCTTGACAATGCGGCGCTTGGGTCCGAAGCTCGTGCTAACAGGACGGAAGGCAACATTATCTACTCCATCGGCTCGATCATCGTCGCCGCTGCAGCTCAAGTGCGGTCTTTCAAGTTGATGATCGGCGGACGAGTCATTCTCGCGCTTGGAGACATTGCGACCCAAGTTGCCCAGTACAAGGTCTTCAGCTCATGGTTCTCTCCCAACAACGGCTTCGCCTCGACCCTCGGCCTCGAGATCGGGATCAAAAAAATTGGCGGATTTGTCGGCAAGTCCTCGGCCAACATTATCGCGAAGAACACAGGCAACTTCGCTTGGGTGTTCTGGGTCTCGGTGTTCATGAATGTCTTCACCAACGTTCTGACTTTGGTCTTTTATCGCTTCAACGGCATTGCCCACAAGAAGTTCGGCAACATGAAGGACCCAGCCACCGGCGAGAGGTTGACGGAGAAGACGAAGAAATTCCAGGTTAAGCAAGTCCTAGAACTCCCTTGGGTGTTTTGGGCTATCATGGCCTTTTCCTTGTTCCAGACCAGTGCCGCCATGGTTTTCACACAGAACGCGACGGAGCTGGCTGAGAAGCGGTTCAAGACTGACGCTATCACTGCCGGTTGGTATTCTGCTACTTTGCAGTACGCCGGTTTCTTTCTTGTGCCCTGCATTGGCGCTTTCATTGATTTGCTGGGAAACCGCATCACTCTGCGTAAGTACATCTTGTCAAGCGTGGAAGAAACCATACACTAATCACCTACAGTCGCCATTTGCGGAACGGGAGTCTTTGTGGCCATGGCCCTGGTCAACTGGGCCTCAGAAAAGGCCGGAACCGCTGCTGCGTTTGGAATCTACGCTATCTCGTCCACCCTCGGTCCTACTCCCATCATTGACAGCATTCGAACGTCAATGTGGCATCAATCTGTCTTTGGATCAGCATACGCCGTCAAAGTTGCGATGAACAACGCGTAAGTGAGCCCATCCCGGGACGGGGGAAACCTGCTAATTTCATATCAGAATGAACATCATCGTGCGAGTTGTCACTGGAGCAATTCAAGATGCCGACAACGATAGCTACGATCACGTAGTCGTTGTCTACGTCATCCTCGCAGCTGCTGCCGTGGCGGTCTCGGTCATGTTGATCTTTCTCTCCTGGTGGTCCATTGACTTGGGCAACCTGCAATGGACTAGGAAGCAGCGTATCGCGAATGGCGACCTGTGGAACGAGAGGAAGAGGTCTTTCCACGAAGAAAATGGGGCAAGAAACAAGACGATCTCCAAGGCTTGCTTCGGCGGGCTTATTGTGTTGATCCTTGGTTCTTGGTCGGCATACTTCTGGGGCGTTGCAACTGGCAACAACTCCTGAAAAATGGTGTTGAACGTCCCTTTACGTAGGCAACTGTTGAGAGCATTCTCACTGGCCCAAGGATGCATCCATGTATAGAACAATGCACAACGCTTGTACGATACCAATGATAATTATCTGCACGCTTCAGTCGCGGCTCAATGTTCTAATTTGCTTGAAGTCAGGACCGAACGTGAAGTGACATCTTGAATTGACAACCCACTGCCCAGCCTCAGGATACCTTGGACTAAGTGACAAGCGACGTGGTTCGAGCTTGAAGTCATCGCGAGCTCCACCCTCAGTATCCTACGTCCTAGTGCCTAGTCACCTTATATCTCTGCGTAAAATCCACCAATTTTTAAAAAACGTAAGAATTGAATAGAGTGCATCTGATTAAAAATTGTCAAGAATAGCTCGGTGATACGTCTGTTTCCTCTGTCCCGCCTGCTCTGCCACTCTGTCATCCAGATGCTGCCGGATAACCCGTCGCCCGGGGTGGGCGCTTAGATAGGAACTTATCGGCATGTCACAGAAATTCGGGAGCTTGGTGTAATTTTCAAGTCAACATGATCCCTTTAAAGGAGTCGTAGCGGGAGCATATGATTGATTACACTTACCGAATCGGCTCCGAGAACACAAATTTGCCGATGGATTGCCTCATATGGGTCCCACTCTGGCGTTTCCCCCGCTGCGCTTATCTTTCACTCAGTTCATCCGACCTCTTCTTGCATGTTGGAGATAAGACAACATTCTGTCCGCCGCGACGGAGGTCTCCAATCAGCTTTATCCTGCCTCACCTTAACCGTAGTTCGATCCTCGAGTTCAACTGACACCAACTCCTGAGATGGGCTACACAGTTCCCGCAGAAGATCTGCCCGTTCCGGGTCGGGACACGTACTTCTGGCTCGGCGAGATCAACAAATCAAGTCTCGTCATCAACTCGGACGAAGGCCTGCTTGAATCCGAAACGGCTCATCGAATCGCCCGTGGCCTGCACAAGCTACTGATCTCGGGAAACCAACCCAATGCTCCACGTCCAAGTCTCGTCATAACCTTTGAGCCACTGCTCATCGAGGCCGCTGGCGTTGAAGCGACCCTTCTCCATGCCGGACGTTCGAGTCAAGACATGCTCACAACGGCATCGACAGCCATCATCCGCGATGCCGTGCTCAAGCTAGCCTCGCAACTCCACGCAACCACTCGCCGGTTACTCAAACTAGCAGAAACCCATGCCGGAACTCTCGTGCCGAATTACACCAACGGTGTCGCAGCACAACCGAACTCATACGGCCACTACCTTTTGGGACACGTCGCTGGGCTGCATCGCGATGGTGAGCGGTTGCAGCAGTTGTACGCCAGACTCGATAGGTGTGCGATGGGTACGACCGTGCTCAACGGAACGAGTTGGCCACTGAATCGCCGACGCATGGCAAAGTATCTCGGTTTCGCCGCCGTTGTCGATAATGCCTACGACGCAGCGCAGATATCGGCGGCAGAAATGCCCGTGGAGATCGGCGCAATTGCATCTCAAATCGCTCTGCATGCCGGCTCGTATATCCAAGACGTCATGGTGCAATATTCACAGCCAAAGCCATGGATTCTTCTTCAAGAAGGCGGCGAGAACACGTACGCCTCAAGCGCCATGCCGCAAAAGAGAAATCCGGGGCTGCTCAACAGAGCCCGGGCTGAGGCTTCGCGAGTGGTGACCCTAGGAGTCGGGAGAGCCATTCAAGGTCATAATCTCCCTCCAGGAATGGTAGACGCCAAGGACTTGGGAGACAACTTGGCGGTCGTCAACGGCGCGACTGGCGTGCTCAACGACTGGTGTCGTATTCTCAACGCGCTTTCCATCGATGGTCAGCGCTCTTTACGGGAGTTGGACTTGGATTGGACGGCCTCACAGGAGCTGGCCGATATCCTGATGCGCGAGCACAAAGTCCCGTTTCGCGTCGGACATCACTTTGCGTCGGAGGTCGTGAGATACGCTAAAGCGCAAGACCTCTACCCAAGCAGCTTCCCGTATGCAGAAGCTTCGAGGATATTTACGGAAACTTTGGAACACACCGAACTCGAGGCCGAGAGATATTCCTTCTTGAGCGAGCAGGATTTCAGAGACGCCTTGGATCCGGCTGGTATCATCAAGCGTCGAGCGACATTAGGGGGCCCCCAGCCGGAGGAAATGGAAAGAATGTTCGATGGCTCGAAAAGAATCCTCCAAAGTCTGGAAAGTTGGGTTGCTGAGCGTAAATCGCACATCAACAGCGCTTTGGGAGAACTAGACACAGCTTTCGGCACCTTCTTAAGCAGCGAATGAATCAGCCAGGGAAGAATCTGAGTACGCTTGTCACCTACAATTGAGACTTCTTGGCGACCGCGGCACTTTCACGCCAGCGGGGATTCCCTGGCTCACCAAATCTTGCTAAGCATCGTTCCACAAACATCTTCGACCAGGGCGCGCATCTCATTCGCCGGCTCGGACTTTTACCATCGCTTATGCTAGTTCGATCGAGCGGTGAAGGAAGATCAATTTTGGAGGTCAGAATAATACATTTCTTAGACGTCTTCGTACAGCAAGAGCAGTATTCAATAGGTATTTGTCAGCGGTAACTTGAGTAGATCTAGGAGAATCAGTCAAGTCTTCTCAAAAGGAAGCTGAGAGCACAGATACTCAGACCCGTCGTCAATGAACAGCTCGAAGAGGCACGATTTTTCATTTTCAGGAGTCTTGATGAAGACTTGGTTGATTGTCTTCCTCATTCATTAAGAACGTCACTTGTGTACCATCAGGCGGTCAGCAATAAGTAGCCGGAGCATCCGCGACCCACCCGGAGCCGATCCCGAATGTGTCGAGTATGGTGCCCGGTGTGGCGGCATGCTAGCGCCCCTCCGCCAAGTTCATGAGGGGTTGTCAGCTTTCTCTTTCTCAATCATGATGCAATACTTGGCGGCATTGCTTTATGAGACTTCCTCCACGTAAACATCCAAATCGCCTGATATCGGGTCGTGAGATTGCCACATGGTGCAATAACCGCCCAGGTGCAATACCCGCCTTCCTAGTACCCGCAATGTAGAACCACAGGGGCCGAAATCATCGACAATCGCAACGAGAATCTCACTGGCTGAGCTCATATATCTCCGATCGACTAATGGCGATCCTGGTCGGAAGGAATATACTCATCGAGCCTAGTTGGAGAAGATAAGATGCAACCCACCTTTCGTCACTTGGCGAACGCAATGCGGATAATCTTATAATTGAGTCCAGAGTCCCCTCAGTTACGTCGAGTTGCTGCTCGCGCCAAGAGACTCGGCCAACATGCGCTTCTCAATCACCGCCGTCGCGTCTCTCTTCACCATGGCTGCCGCCACCAAGTTCACAAGCTACTCGTACGGACCGAACGTCCTGCAGTCATATGACGTCTACATCCCCGTATCCGCGAATGAGACAGCGATATCGGACAAGTACTGGATTGTCTATCTGCATGGAGGTTTTTATCGCGACTTCGCTCAGAACTCAACCTCAATCGAAGCCGCCATCACCTCACTTGAGGTTAACAACTCGGATGTCCTCTCGAACAAGGTCGCCGGCATCGCGTCACTGAACTACCGTCTCTCCGCTCTTCCCGGCGTTCAACCCAACAACACACCAACGAATGAGTTACAGAACGCAAGGTGGCCAGACCACCTCAACGATGCCGTCGCTGCTGTGAAGGACCTTGGAAAGCGTTACCCTATAGATGGGAAGTACGTCATCGGTGGACACTCCGTCGGCGCGCAGATCTCCTTCCTCGCGATTCTGGAGACTCTCAAAGATGCTTCTATCCCGAAGCCAGTGGGTGTCTTGGGCACCAGCGGCATTTACGACTACCCGCAGCTCCACGCCACGCACCCCGATTACGACTATCTCGTCCTCAACGCGATGAGAGAGGACCAGCTTGTGGAGGCCAGTCCCGCCAAGATTGACGCTGAAAGGTATGCGGCTCTAAATCTGAAAGCGTTTGTACTTGCGCACAGTCGCAATGACGGACTGGTACCCTGGGACCAGGTGGAGGCTATTGAGGCGACTTTGGAGAGCGTCCCGGAGTTGAAAAGCAAGACCAGCATCGTAGAGTTGGACGGTCAGCACAATGAGATCTGGCGGGGCGGAGTACAGTTGGCGAAGGCTTTCACCGAAACATTAGCATTGCTGTAATGAGGAAGCTATTGGTCGTACGTAATAGACTGAGACGCATTGATCCTTGCTCGTTTGCCTCAACAAACGTAACGTTGTATTTCTTTGGCTTGTCCAACAGTTGTACGGCCGTAAGGCCTCATTCTTGTCCTTCTCAGAACGTTGTGGCGTAACAGCACCTTAATGCAATGCAATCAACAACGGCCAAACGGACAGGCGTGACTGATGGTATCTGTTATGCCATGTTCTTGTGAGACACGGATAGCAATAACGAGGCATCCCCGCTAAGATGTAGCGAGATACCGCGTCTATCAGAGAGAATTAGTTGCCTTATTTGAGTTGTCAGCCTGATTCTGTATAACATTCAGTCATTAAAACTGATTATACCATTTTTCAGTACACGAGGTAGTCATAACCATCAATTCAGACATTTGGCATGGGGGCGGCAAAAGAAGACGTCACCAATGTTTACCGCCGCTGGCCCCTCACTAGAGGGACTGGGCAATTCCGAATATTGTTTCTTCATCCATCGACTAATAGCGACAAGGACCCCATTCACGGAAGCCTAATCGTTTCAAAACTCAAAAAAAAAAGAAGGGAAACTTTGAGACTCTTTCGTACGTATGGGGTAACAGCGCGCTGCCGAAGAGCATCGTCTTCATTGACAACATCCCGCTTCAAGTTACCACAAGCCTGGCTTCCTTTCTCCGGTATCTTAGGAGGACAGACCGACCGCTTTGCTTGTGGGCAGATGGTATTTGCATCAACCAAAATGACGACGACGAGAAGTCAGAATAAGTCGCGCTCATGGCCGACATATACAAGTCGTGTTCCCAAGTCAATGTCTGGCTTCCAGAACCAACCGATGCCATCAACAACACAGCGCCCAAGAGCAAAAACAGCAGAGGCCTTGGGGATCTCTTCTCTCTACAATCGAGGAAACATTTCCATGGCATCCCGGGTTATAGCGTCGCTGAAGATACCAAGAAGCTCACCTTCGCTGTGACGGACGAATTCAATGCCCTCTGGAAAGGGTTTTCGCTCTTGGCAAACAGTTCTTGGTGGACTCGGGCGTGGACTGCGCAGGAGATATTCCTGCCCCCGCGGGCCGTCTTTCCCGAAGACACGATGACACAATTATCGCAGTTCTTCCATATTTTTGCTCAAGTACAACACCGTCGTGAGGTCCTCTTCGGACGACGTTCAACCGACGGGAGAGACTGCTTTTATAACGTCGTAACGGTTCTTTCCAACAGACAGTGCTTTGAGGCACGAGATCGGATCTGCTCCCTTTGGAGCGTGACGCCATCCATGTATAAAGATTGTCCTATCGACTACTCCGTTGCAGAAGGGACTGCTTTTACCAGAATTTTCGAGTGCATGTTACGGGAAGCGCATCTTTCGCGGGGCCATCTCAATAACTTGCTCGGCTGGGGAATAGACTACCGCATCCTGCAGTGGATGAGCTTTGGACCAGACACGACTGGATCCGACAGCAGACCCTCGTGGGTGCCTGACTTCTCCAGGAGGTGGAGTAACCATTCTCTTCAGGCTCACCGAGACAGGATTGCGTTTTCGAAGCTATATCGGCCTGCGGGATTCTCGAAAGGTCATGTCGAAGTCCGGGGAAGACAGCTGCATCTTGGTGGTTTCCCTATGGACAAGATTCGAATAGTCGGAGAGGCAGTTGAGGATCCTCGGAACCATTTGTCAATGAAGAAGACCTTGTGCCAGTGGAAACGCTTGCTCAAAGAAAACGGTATTTACGATTCAAACGCAAACAACGCAGCCATACAGCGCTTGGCTGAGTTATTGTGTGCCGAAGTTTACGGAGAGAGGATGACAAGCGATCAATGGTCGGCCTGGACGCGCAAGTTTGTCGTTCAAAAGCTCCGGAGAGGTAAGGTCTTTGAGCTGTTTTCCGAATACGCTTTCAATGTCATAGCAAGGGATGAATGTTGGCGGCGGCTTTGGGTGGAGGATTTACCAAGGAGGCGAGAGCTCGACGCATTTCTTGACAGTGGTGATCTGAAATGTTTTGAAGACTCCTGTTATCGTTCTGTGGTGAACTCATCTCTATCTTGCCGAGCGCTCTACATCACAGAACGTGGCCGGATTGGTCTTTGTCTACCGCATGCCAATGCCGGGGACGAGATCTGGGGTGTCTACGGCTTCCGAGTCTGTTCCGAGTTCCCTTTGTATTCTGGGCGATAGGCAGGGACGAAGAATCGGTGCACAACATGATTGGAGATTGCTATCTCCAAGGAGCCATGGATGGAGAGCTCTTGCTTCCTGGAAATAGCACTGTCGTCAAGTTGGTTTGATAGCAATTAATTAAGATTCCATATCCAATCTGAGCTTAGAAATCGACACCATCATAAACAGCCTTTGTCCATAACTTCAGAAGAAAGAAGCCTACCTAGTCGACCGAATTCAATATATTGAATAAAGGATAACAGAAAGATCTCATACTTCATCTCTCTTTTTACCCTTCCGCAGATACCCCAGCGGTAAGACTCGCTGTCCTTGATTGGGGCATACGACAGTCCTTAAGAGATGCGAGTGCTGTTCCGGTCTCTGTCCCCAGATAGCCCAGAGACTGATTCTCAGAGATACATACAAACAGTCAGCCTAATGGTGTCAGTAACTCATTTTTACGCTCTTTCCAGCATCACGCAGCCGAGCTATTTTCCAGTTGGGTGGTAAAGCGGGCACATTGCCAAGTTAAGCAATAATTGGCCAGCTTATATGCAGCAGATAATCACATGACGGCCGCTCACTTTTTTTCAATGGGCAGTTCTTACTTCGGAAACTTAGGTAATTACCAATCCCCGCTTAGTTGGTGTATGACTGGGATCTCGGTCCTCGCAAGAGCAGGCTATCGCAACAGCGTCGTTTGATTTCATCGAGCCTCTCACTTTTCTCGGCTTTATCATCACGGACAGTGCTCTATATCAGCACACAACGTTGCCACCCGTTTCATTGCAACACTACATGTCTCAACTAGATCCTGACCAGTATACAGTGGTATGGTTTGCGCCTTTGGAAGTTGAAGTTCACGCAGCCTTGCGCATGCTGGACGACCGCCATGACGGCCACTTCCCAGTCGCCCCCGGGGACGATTTCGTCTATCTTGCGGGCGAGATGTGCAATCACAACATTGTCATAGCGAGCTTCCCTCACGGGCAAGAGTATGGTACTGGCGCGGCGGCTGCACTAGCTAGTCAAGTGAAAAGGTTCTTTCCTAATCTCTGGTTTGGACTCCTTGTCGGCGTGGCCGCGGGTCTCCCGAATCTCGACACCCAGCCGCAGCGCGATATCCGTCTTGGAGATGTTCTTGTTGCGTCTCGCAGCGGGGACTTCCCTGCGGTAGTAGCTTACGATCTTGGAAAAGCCACCGACAACGGCTTCCAGCTGCTCTACAATGGAGGAGTGCTTTCGAGGACAGAGAGCATTGTGGCTTCCGCCATATCCAATATCAGAATTCATACTACAGACGACACGAATTCCTTTTCTCTTTCAGATTATCAGGCAGAAGTGTTGGAGGAGCAGCAACGGAACGACAAGTTCGCCTACCCGGGCCATGATAAGGACAGACTCTTCCCAGCCCACACAGACGCTCAAGAGCAAACTGTACACCGGCCACTACGATCCAATCCTGGACGTCCGCGTGTTTGGTACGGCCCAATAGGCTCGGGCGAAAAGTTGATGAGGAATGCCCAAGAAAAAAACGCATTGAGAGATAAGTACGATTTGATTGGTCTCGAGATGGAAGCAGCGGGTATCATGAATCGGGTTCCAGTTGGTGTGATTCGGGGCGTCTGCGACTACGGAGATTCATACAAGAACAAGGATTGGCAGCCATTTGCTGCAATCACCGCGGCTGCCTACGCAAAAGGTCTGCTCAGAGAGATACACACAAGATCCAAACCTATACGAAGACCATCACCAGCCAGCTTTCGCAGGTCTGTGGAACCTGAACATTGTAAGTTTGGATATCTCACCGCAAATAATGACTTATGATTAACGCTTCAGGGCAGCCCGGCATTCGAGACGAAATAAGAGGCCTTACCGGCGACGACAACGAAGTGCTCAGGAACAGAGTAGCGAATCTTCGGAATCGTCCCCCGACCAGTCACTTTTGAACAGCTCAAGAAGACGCAATTCTCAACGCCAAACTAAGAATTATCGACATTCTCGCCGACGTGGAAGTAGCGATGACGGTAAACATCAACAAACCCTTGCTTGGCAGATAGCCTGTAGTAACTAAACTTCACCAGGCGAGCACAGCTTTCTCCTATGGACAGATGAGGGTCGCTACCAATGGCCCGCCCACCAAAATGAGCGGCCAGGTTTGGTTGCCAAGTTTGTCCAGCGCGGCGACATGCCTTCCAGCTTAGCCCCTGACGGAGAAACCTGGGACACGGTTGGGAGGTCTACTCCCTGGACGGTTGTGATTTATGGTCTTCCTGGAGTTGGCAAGAGCCAAATGTGCTTGAAAGCCATCGCGGAGAATCAACAAAGGTTACTCTAGTCTTTGCATAAGTATTAAACATGGTGTTCGCTAACTAGAAGCTGAATAGATTCAAGAGTGTTTTCTACGTTGATGCCACCAACGACATCACCGCAAACAAAAGCTACTTAGAGATATGGCGAATTTTCAACGGCCAACGTCATTGGGAAGACATCCAGCCAAACGAGCTTATCAGGTTGACGCGGCTGCTGCTTGCTTGCGAAAAGAGTCCATGGCTCCTGATGGTCGACAACGCAGATTCGCGTCTCTCCTTGTACGACTACATACCGAAAGGGGGGCCTGGTACGATTCTGATCACGACGACAAACGAGAAATTTGCGACGGAAAGCCAGTGCTACAGCAAGATTGGCCGAATGAATGACAGAGATGCGGTCGAGCTTTTGATGAGATATAAGCGACCGGAGGTGACCTGTGACGGGAATGCAACGATAACGGCCCATACTCTTGCAGTCGATGTTCTTGGTGGACTGCCACTGGCAATATCGCAGGCTGGTTCCTACATGTTCAATGAGCGCTGCACGTACGCCGAGTACTACGATCAATTTCAACAAGCACCTCAAACGTCGCTGAACTACGAAAGTAGTACTACCCAGTTGTCGACGCGCCGGCAGAATATCTGGACGACTTTCAACATGTCGATCAATCGGATTGAGAGTCTTCCGGAGAACGGTTCGCAAGAAGCAATCGAGCTTATACGCACCCTCTGCTTCATGCATCATGAAGGTATTTATGCAGAAATTTTCCATGAAGCATGGCGGAATGTCAGTTTTATACCGGTTACGTCGGGCCTGTTGGGGCTGCTGGATCCTCAAAGCCGACGCTGGGATACGGCTAATCTGCGAGCTGCGATATCGATACTTCGGCGGTATAGCCTCCTCGAGGAGATTTCGTCGCCATCCAGACAATACTCGATGGAAAAGCTGGTGCAGACCATCTTCAGGGAGTCCCTGTCCCCGGATGTCCAAAGACAATACGCATTTCAGGCATGCTGCTTGATCGCGGCTGCTTTATCCGGAATCAAGAACCCTCTCTCATGGATTGAAGATCCTTCAGGATTCGAATTGCAGACAACTCTTCTGCCGCACATCAAGGCATGCGTGAGTGTGAGTGGAAGTATTGGGGTTATCTTCCAATATGAGCCAAACAATGAAAATCTGCGGCTTGGCGCTGAGATTCTATCTCTTTTCGCGAAGGCATACTCAGCCACTGGTCATTTCCAAGATGCTAATGCCCTTTTGGAAGAAGGCTGGAGCTTCATGGAAGACCATGTCTCCCCTATTGCACACAGTCCAATAGCTTTGCAAGTGATGGAGCAATGTGCGGCATGCTCATCCCAACTGGGTCGACATGAGAAAGCAATGAGCCTCCGTCAGAAGATTGTGGAATTGCAGACTTCCAAAGAGGCATCAAGCTTAACCGACAATTGCTTTTCTCTTATGAATCTTGCCGATAGTTTGTGGGCTGTTGGGGAACGGCAACAGGCCTTGGAGATGTCCCAAAACGCGTTACGGCTTCGGGAACAGACCTTGTCAGTTGGTGATCCGAAGCTTTTGCGTACTCGACGAAAGGTGGCTGAGTATCTTCATGGTATGGGTCAAAGCCGGAGTGCATTTCTCTTGCGAGAGCAAGTCTTCCAGGCGGCGGACTCGACGATTTGCCGTTCTGATGTGGAAAGGCTTGATGTCTTGGCATCCAAAAGCGCTTTCGCCGACAGCCTTCAATGGGACGGCCAATTCATCAAAGCCCTTCGAATTCATCGAGAGGTACACAGCGAAAGATTGAGATTACTAGGGCGCATGCACCCTGACACTTTGTTTGCCAAAGACCGGCTGTTGGGAGCTCAGAGCCTTGTCGTAAGCAAACCGGGTGATCGCAAGCGTATCTGTCAACGCCGGAGCGACCTAAGGGATCAATTGCGCGACGTATTTGGACCTTCTCATCCTCATACTATGAAAGCGTCGGTAAAGTTGGCTCGCAGTATGAGCGCAGCCAAACGATACGAAGAGGCCTTCCGACTCCTGCAGGAAGTCATTTCGGTCCAAGAGGCTCAATTGAAAGATCAACCTGGCCTCGTGAGCGCTCGGAGTCTTATTGACTCCCTCAGCAGCTATGGCAGCATTCTGGCCAAAGACGACCAGCTTCTCCAGGCCACTGGTGTGCTAACAAGAGCACTGTCTCTTGCCAAGGCGTTCTGTGGGACAAACTCTATCGTTCGTTTCAAGCTGGAAAACTCTCTTGCAACTACGATACGAGCGAGACGCTCAATCTTAGCCGCTCAGCAGGACTGTCTTCCTTATCAAGACCCGGCCATCTTAACCACGCTATTTTTATTGGCCGGTGATCTGGAAGAAGTTGACCTGGCGCAGTCGATAGGAGTGCGGAAAGATCTTCTGTCGAAACAAAGATCTGTGTTTGGCCCAGAAAACCGTGTCACAATACAAAATCAGAAGAGGCTCGGTATGGCCTTAGCTTACAGAGGCCAATACGACTTGGCTATAGATCTCTTGGAGCAAGTGGAGAAACTACAAGACAAGTTACTCGGCGACGGACACCCCCAAACTCAAGACACAAGGACCGACCTTTACTCTGTTTACACATTGGCTGAGGAACTCGAACAGATGGAACGACTCAGTGAACGTTACCGTAACGCATGTGGCAATAAGCCTTGTAAATTGACAACTTGCAGTGAGTCGGAAAACAGCGACAAGACCGAGGGATCTATCTTGTCTGATGCTCGGCTGAAGATAGATCGTCTCTCAAGAAAAGCGGTTGGTTCATCTTTAATACTCTGTGAATAGAAGAAACTAACGATTATCTCTAACAAAGTTATCACAGAGCTTTTCAGAGGAGAAGGCGCACTCCAGCGGCGAGTCGTATGTTGGAGAGTCCGGGTCCGAAACGAGTGTCAGTCTTAGTGATAAATAACTGGAAATGGCTGCGGTCCAAATTCAGTTTTTCTGTCACAGTCATTTCTATTTGAAAGGCACGCGGGGGTCTTCAATATTGTTTTATAATCTCATAATCTGTGGGGGTGGAGTAATGATTCCAGCTTCCATTAACGTTGCATCTTCTCTCTCTGTGATGCTCATATTACCTCAACAGACTTTTATGTCTTACACTTGGTTTGAACATATGATTGGTGATTTGTATTTAAGCACGTTCAGAATAAAACTTTGCGATAATAACAACATCAGGTATTCTTTAAAACAGCTGGATTGAGGCGGTTCGTTGTGCTTTTCAGAGCAGGTACTGCTTTGGAGTCTCGTGGCTCGACTATATCATTGAAGCTCAATAGGGCAAGACTCTCATAGAGACACCCTCAATATTCCAGTAACAAGTTCTTCATGTTGATCATAATTCATAACAAGTACTTCATCCTAAAAACAAAATGGTATCAATCATCCCAGACGCCCTCCCTCTCCATCTCAGCCATGCTTCCCCGTCACAGCCCCAACCGCCAAAATCTCAATCCTCCCGGAATAAAGCTTCATAACATGACAGACCGGATCCCCCCAAACCACCCCCCTCAGCTCTTCATCAGTAACAGTCTGCGCCAGAACACCCTCATTCAGCCTCTCCTCCACCGTCTTCCGGTCCTTCACCCTCGCCCCCTTATCCCCGCTCCGCAACACCACGATCCGCCCCGGCGAACTCAGCGTGCCCGCGGGCAACTTCCACACAGGCCTCCTCTCCCTCCTCTCCCTCTTCACAACAGCTTTACTCTCCTTATCCCCCCTCAGCGAGATCTTGCTCGCCTTCGCCATAATCCCCTTGCTCCCCGCCTTCCTCTCATCACAATCCCCCTCCTCCCTCCGCAAACTGGGCGCCGGCGACGCATACAACTCCAACAACGACTTCACATACGCCATATCCGCCCTCGCAATCGGATCCCCCTCATTCACAAACGTCAAGAACAAACTCTTCCTCAACTCCGCCCTCTCCGGCCTCGCCAACGGCAACAGACTCACCGGCGGCGTCCCGAACGTCACGCAGTGCACCCGCTTAAAACACCCCGTCAACAAATTCAACTCGCTCCGCGCCCGCTCCGTGCCCGCCAGCATGTGCGAGTACAACAGACTCGCCACGGCGCCGCCCGCGCTGTGCCCCGTGATCAGCAGGCTGTACCCGCTCCGCGCGGGGTCCTCCTCCAGCAGCCCGCGCAGCCGCGCCGCGACGGGCTTGATCATCTTCCGCGCGACGGCGAGAAAGCCCGCGTGGCAGAGGTTGCCCGGGTCGTCGAGGAAGCCGGCGGGGGACGCGGGCGCGGAGTTGAGGTTGACGGCCCAGTCCATGAAGGTCGCGGAGCCGCGGATGGCGAAGACGATGGTGTTCATGTGGTCCATGGGGACGGACTTGATGACCATGGCTTTCGTGCCGGATTTCCAGTCCGCGCGGGTGACGTGGTCGCGCTCGGCGCCTTTGGGGGTCTCGTAGACGCGTTCGGCGTATTGGGCGGCCATGCAGAGGAGGGGCCAGGTCGGCATGTATCTGAAGTTTTGTTAGGTCGAGCAAAGAGGGGTGAAGGGGAAGGGGGGCGTACAGTCGTAGGGGAGGGAGGTTCATCGGAAGCCGCGAGTTGGCGTACATCTCCACCTTTGAGAAGTAACTCCCGGACACGACCGAGGCGCCGACGGCCTGTCCTTTACTGCTCTGCTGCTGCGGCTCCCTGCTCTTCTTCTTCGTCCTCCGCTCACCACCGCCCCGTCTGCGCTCCTCGTCCGCCGCCGGCCGCGGCTGCTCGTACGTGAACAGAGCCCTCTCGTTCCCCGCGACCCGCCCGCCGTCGATCATGGTCATGACGTCGTTGAAGCAGCCCGCGATCTGGTCGACGCACGCCGCGGTGGAGTTGATGAGCTGCGTGGCGTGCGGGTGGAAATTCGGCTCGTCGAAGAATTGCGGCGAGCTCAGGTCCTTGGCCATCGTTGCCATGGAGTCCGTGAACTTGGACGTGGAGTCCGGCGGGGCTGGGAGGGCGAGTTGCTGGTGCTGCTGGGGAGGGGCGATGTAGTAGTGCTGGTTCACGACGACGGGTTGACGAGGGGGGTATTGGTATGGCGGTGGTGGTGGTGGAGGTGGTTGAGGGCGCCAGTACTGCGGCGTCTGCGTGGTTGAGGTCGCGTATCGCGATGGCGGCGGTCCGGGTTGGGTCGCCGGGACCGGGGCCGGTGCCGGTGCGGGGACGGTCTTGCGGACCTTTCTGCGGTCGAAGAAGCCCATCTTTCGTGCATGAATCCCCTTCTTTCTCAGAGCTGTTCTTTTTCGCTTTGAGATGTGACGTCTCGAGACTCTCGACGTCCACCCGAGAACGAGAATGATGCCAGTCGTCAAGAGAACAGGTGGTATCCCGAAAAACTCTCAGGAAAACAAGCACCCGCCAAGACGAACACCCAAGAAAACCCGAAAGGCAATCTTGCCGTCGGGGGTGGGACGTCGCACGAGTAAATAAGGCAACCAAGTATCTCGTGCTGCCCGTCGTCGCCTCTTCTCCTCGTCCGAGCAGGAATCCCAAAACTCAGGAGAGCCCAGCGTCGGCTGCTCGTTTCCTCACTTTGCGCAGCCGAGCTGAAAGCCAACCCGAAACCGTCCCAACATCAATCGCCTAACTGCGCCTCTTTTCCAGTCTTTTCTCTTGAATCCCGAGCGTGCGGTATTGCAGTCAGTCCAGACCGTCCCGGGATGAATGCTGTAAAGGTTGACGGTCGATCATCCGTCGGGGGCGATAACCCGCTATCGAGGCTCAGTTCAGTTCGGTCAGTCCATGCAGCGAGATGGTTTCTCAAAGGGGGTATTCTTCGTCGTGGGATATCTTCGATGTGGGTATAATCATGAGCTCATCATCATAAACGCCAAACGAAGAGCAACACAAAAAAACGACGATGAAAAGACCGAAGATGCGGTGCCACATGGGATTTTGCGGACAGGCGTCTTGTGTACCTTTTTAAACGGCCCCCCTCTTTCTCAATTCGATCCCCTGGTTTCTGTTATGAGATGTATCTTTTCATGTGAACGTACTGGCAAAAGCACATCAAAACAATCCATCAATAAAATGCAAAGAAACGCTTGATTGAAGCACCATCCCCCAAACCCCGGTCTCTCTCCTCTCATTCGTTCTCCCGGACGGAGCTAAGCCCCCCAGCCCGGCTTTCTTCCGCATACTCATAAGTGTTCTCTCACTCATGCATCTCAATATTCAGACATCCAAAAAGCCGCGGCATCTCTCACTCATTGGCGAATCCACACGTTTCCCTCTCCTATCACTCATCCCGTCTCATGCAATAACACTCCCCTCCTCCATCGTCTATCAAATAAGATACACTACAAAAAAAAACCACCACACCGACAAACCACCCACCCCGCGTCCAATCACCACCACCAACAGGTTGAATCAGTCCACCCACGCCATGCGCGTAGCCGCCCGGAAACGACGCTACCGCAGAACCCCTCCCTCCTCCTCTTGAGCGCTAGTCGAATGTCTTTCGTTGGTTCGTTCAGGGGTTGAGTGATACCGCAGGCTACGGGGTCCAATATAAGCTGTTTTTTCAAGGTGAACATGTGAGATGCAGGAAAAACCCCTCTGTCGTGAGTCAAACCCATGCAGTGTAAATACTCCATCTGCGTGTGTTAAACGAGTCGTTCCCAACCACCGCCGCTTGATGATTGGATTTTGCGAACCCCTCACGAATGAGGAAACTTGGTTGAAAAATGCAGGAGATGCAGGAGATGCAGGAGAATCCACTCCGGACCTCGGGACTCACTTTTTGAAAATACCACGTGAGGTGAAGGGTGATTGAGTCGCTTGTCTTCTCACCATATCTCAAGTGTTCGCACGAAGCATGAAAAAAGACGCCGTTAGTCCTCGTCTCAGCCCCGCCATCGCCAATCCATTGAATATGCCAAAACACACTGCCAGCTCAATCAACCTTCTATGTGATTCCCGCTTAGCATTAAGTGACGGGCTACGCAATCGCGGCAACCTTTCGAAAATCCAATGAGACCGAGTGAGCCGCCATGCATCGCACCTGAAAGACAGTGACCCCGATATGTCCATGCTACGCCCGTCCAACTGCCGGAAGCCAAGAGTCGAGACGAACGGATAGACACACCTAATCTATCCCAGACTGCCTAGCCCCGGCTGCTTCGGGGGATGTGAGCCGAAGATGCCTTGACGGCTTACACGGCCAAGTGTACACCGAGTGAGATGGATGTACACTGGACTTGTATGTTCACTACTCGTACTCATCGCACTCAGGTCGATGACTGTGAGTCAATACAATCACGGCAGGTAAATCACGTCGGAACAGATTCTTAAACAAATGCACAACTCTTCATTCATGAGAAATCGCCACCGACATCCGCAAGGCCGGACAAGAAGCCGACGCCGACGAAATATCCAGCAATGTCATCCCCAGGGCCGAGAAAGCCGAGACTACTTAAAACACACAGAAAAACAGACTTCCGAGACGAACACTTCAGATCGGACTCGCCGGATCCCGCATGCTCCCGCTCCCGCTGCCGCTCCCGCTGTGCACGCTGCTGCCCCCGGACTCCGCGCCGTCGCTGCGCTGGTGTCTGGAGTAGGGAAACGTCGCGGGCGCGCGGTACGCCGCGTGCCCGTGCGCCGGCGTGTTGTTGAGCGAGAGGAACTCGTCGCCGCCGTCGCTCGACTGCGTGAACCCGGAGACGTCGCTGAGCATCGACGAGGAGCGGCCTCTAGCCTTGAGGGAGACCATGCTCTGGTGCGGCTGGTACCCCCACACGTCGGCCGCGCTGGGCGCCGGCAGCGGCAGCGTCGAGCCCGGCGCGGTCGTGGATGCCGTGGGCCAGGTCGACGATGACGGGACCGTGAAGTGCGCTCCCGCTCCGGACGACGGGGTCCACGCGGGCGCGGCGGGGTTGTAGGCGGACGTGACTTGAGACTGGGCGTGGTGGCGGTCGGGGACGTCAAAGGGCATGGACGCGGCGGTGGCGTTGTTCATGAACTCGTGGAACTCATGGATCTGCGCCAGCATGAGATTGATCTGCTCCTGCTTGAGCGCGTTCGTACCCTTGATATCGGCGATGCTGCCGGCGAAGTTGTTCTCAATCTTGGAGGTGTCCGCCTGCCACGCGGCGCGCGCCTGCCGTCTCCGTTCGGCCTCGTCCAGCCCGCGGTTGTTGGCATCCGTGATCCTGCCGAGCTCGTTGTCGACCTTGGCGATCCGTGCCGCGATCTTGTTCCGCTTGGTCTGCATGCCGGCCTGCTCGTCTTCCTTGACCTTGACCGCCTTGGCGATGCACGCCTTGAAATCCTTGAACTCCTTGGACGCGGCATCGTAGACGGTCTTCTCGGCGGCCCACTCCTTCTCGGTCTGTTTCTTGCGGTCGTAGAGCCCGTCCGGCGCTTTTTCAGACGCCTTCAGGTCCGCCTCGAGCTGCGCAATCTCTTTCTCATGCTGGGCCTTGGTGTTCTCCTGCTGGATAATCTTCTGCTTGTGCTTCTCGTCGTTGCCGCCCGCCGACTGGATCATATTGTCGAGCCTCTCGTTCTCCTTCCTCAGCGTATTAATCTTATTCTTCCACTCCTTGCGCAGCGCCTTGAGCCGTAACTTTTCCTCCGCCAGCCGTTCGTTGTTGGCGTTGATGGTGCTCTTCAGCGTCGTCGCCGGCGAATCGGGGCGGAGCGACTGAGGCGTGCTCACGGGGGGGTTGATAGATCCTTCCTGGTCCTTGTTTGGCGCGAAGGAGGTTCGGAGGCTGGTGGAGAAGAGGACGTCGTTCGTTTGGGTGTCGACGAATTCGCAGACGTACTTGGAAAGCGGTCTCAGCCCGTAGATGTCACCGCACCACCTGTGGTGGCCCAGATGCTCGTCTTGGGCGTCGTCCTGGACACGATAGATGCGTGTTGGCTGCCAGAAGGCGTTGTTGATACGCACATAAAAAGGCTTCGAGGTGTCAACGCCCGCTGGACGGTTGACGTGCCCGTTCCCGACGCTGGGGCTGTCGGGGAAATGGCTGGTGTTGAAGCATACTTCGTCGTGACCAATGTAGGAAATCCAAATCTGTTCGGCTTGGCTGTCGAACGGGGCGTTCCCCAGGTTATGGATGTCGGTAGCGTTGGAGCCGGCCGACTCGGATGTCGCGTGTGATAATTCATACTCCTTAACCATGACTATTTTGGTGCTCGCCAGAGCCGCCCATAGGGGCTGCTGGAGACGCACCTGTGTGCTTTGTTTTCGCTTCTTTTTCGTAGATGATACTGTTGCATTTTGTTGGAAGGTCGCATCGCTGTCGGGCGTAACGAAGCCGTTTTCGGTCGCCGTGTCGGTGGCGTACGTCTTCCCGGCCTCGGGGTCCGTTATGCTGTGGGCTGATGCGCTTCCTTTTTCTCTTCTTAAATACCACTCTCTTATGTACCGCACTATACCCTGCGTCAATATGTGTATGGCGAGGACGCTCTTGATCCACCCATGCGGCCCCCGCTTGTCGAAGCCGCGCGTGAAGGATTCTAACGGGTCGTCCGAGTCGGGTGAGAATCGCCGCCAACTTTCGGGAAGGAAGTTTGTCGCTCTTGACCAGTGGAATCTTGAACCGCGCAGAAGATGAGAACCTATGACGAGCAGAAAACACGACGTGACGCTTCTCGACGCCCCCTCCCTCGTGTTCGATCCACCGCCGAGGGTGGTGGCGATGACGGGCTTCGCAAAGTCGAGGATGGCAAGCTGCATGGGCGGCCACAGGAACAGCCAGACCAGCAGGATGAAGACGTCCATGCAAAGCACCGTGACGAGGGAGGGCATGGTGGAGTTGTAGTCGAAGATCTCGGCCAGATTGATGTTCATTCCAGAGCTGGTGGTGACGGGAGGGACAAAGGTGAGGAACGTGAAGACCATGTAGATACCGGAGAGGGCGACGGAGGGGACCTGCATCAGGAGGATCATGATGGCGAGGGTGTCGTACAGGGGAAGGGCTCTCAGGACGGTGGCGGCGAACTCGAGGGGGCCGCCGGGGTCGCGGTGGACGTCGACATTCTTGGAAGCGTTGACATCGATCAGGCGGTGGTTCGAGTCGGAGTCGACGGCGCCGTTGCCGTTGGGCATGTTGGAGACGAGCGACTCGGAAGACGACGTCTCGGAGCAGGCGCCTAGCGAGCCTCGCCTGGCAGGGGCGGCGTCGAGGTTTCGGTGATCGGGGGCCATGGTGTCGAGGGTAGCAGCGACGGTCGCGTTCTTTGGAAGTCCGTTGGAAGAGCCGTTGGGCAGGGGCGATGGGAGAGCCGAGACAGCTGCATTCTGGTCGGGCAGACGGGAAGCAGAAGCTGAGGCAGAGGCAGAGGCAGAGACAAGAACCGGAGGCGAAGACGAGGCCGAGTTGTCGGTGTCGAGGCTCGGGTGACTCTTCTTGTTGGATACTCGCTTGGCGGGGCCTACAAGACCATTTTCGTGCCTGGTGTCGCGCTGGCTGGCGGCGGCTTGCTGTCGCTTCGCAGAGGTTGAAGCACGAGGCATGCGCAGGGGGAGGTTCTGCTGTCGACCGACCCGGGAGCCTGGAGAGGCAGGTCGGGAGGCGCCAGCAGCACGACTTGGAGTGGTCTGGATGCGATGCTGGAGAGTATCTCGTGTCCCGTCTCGAGGGCGACCGGGAGAAACAGCGGCTTCGGAGGGGGAGGAGTTTAAACTATGCACTCGACACAAGGGTGAGGGCAGAGCCGCAAATTTTCCGATGGTTTCCGTGGAGCCTCATGCGTCGTCGATTTATGGTTGAGGGATGGTGTAGGTTTTGTGCTTTCGAGGAGATACCGACGGGGCGGTGGTGGTGGGAAGTTTAGGTGATGTTTTTTTTTTCGGTTCTGGGAACGGGCGAAAGATGTGGTTGGTGGTGGTGGTGGTGGTCGAAAAAGGTTGGCAAGGTAAAGGTAGGTTAAGGTAAGGCAAGGCAAGGCAAGGCAAGGCAGAGGTTAAGTGTAAGAATTGGGGAGTATTACGCGGGAAAGGAAGGGTTCCTGGCAGTGGTAGTGGTAGTGGTGCGGTGCTAACGGCAAAATAAAATAAAATTGGGCAAAAAAAGATGGAAAATGTTAACGGGATTGACGTGGTAATGCTGCGAAGCGCGGCAGAACGGCGTGAGTTCGGATAAGAGCCGAGTAATGAGATTGAATAGGAGGGGAGGTGACTGGATAGAGCTAATCAAGTCAGCGACATCAGCGTCAGCCTGCGCCGAAAAGTCAATGCCAAAGTCAAAGTCAATGACAGTCAGTGGCAGCGCAGCTATCGCGACATTGGATTTCCCGCTATTTTGATTTTCTTTTTTTATTTGGCCCTTCTCGGGACATTCAAAGGTGTGAGTGGGAGAGCGCCGCGTCTTTCCTTCGCTTCAAGTTTATTTAAAAAAGGGTGCGGGAAAAGCACGAAAAGCAGGGATGACGGAAGGTGCGGCCTGCGTGCCCCTCGCACTGTCTCTTTTCGAGTGAGGGGGGACGTAGAGTACGTACCTACCCTTGCTGATGTCCTTTTTTTTCTCCTGACAAAGGCGCTGAGTGGACCGCAGAGTGTGGGCTGTGGGGGCACACTGAAGAGGCCCGCCGAAGATCCCCTCTCATTCGTCCAGCTGTCTTCTGACCGCTCCACTCTCCTCCTCGATCAGGATCAGGATCAGGATCTCGGATCTGGACCTGGGTGGTACATTGCACTCGGCCAAATTATGCTTAGCTCAAGGGGCAATGTCGTCTGACATGCTTGTACCTTGGGGTACCCCCGACCGAGGCAGCCGCCAACGCCAGCCCACGATGTTCTTAGGTATCCGTCTTTTGTACTTTTGTACGCGGTTATGCTTGATAGGCGATCATGGAAGGATGTGGTTGCACTTGATGCAGTATTCGTAGAGAAGCGATGACTTGGCAGCAGAATAACCACTGATTTATGACTTGACTTGAACACCGTTGTAGTATCTCATTATCCTCCTCGTCTCTTCCCAAGTACGAATACTCATTGCATCGCATGGCGTGCATCTGCTCCAGGCCCCGGCACAAAATGGATCCATACGGAACGGAAAACACGCAACCAAGCAAGTAATCCTGCATTGGTATCCGTCCTTGGCCCGTCTGTGGCCTGTACAACATGTACGATGTAGCCCGTAGGGCAGAGGCGGTAAACGCCTTTACGCATTAGAGCGCGGCAAGAGTAAAAATAGTAATTGGTGCTTGTTGGTTGTAAAGAGTCTTGACTGCAATTATTAAAAATAAAATACAATTACAGTTGTCAACTCTGTGTGCGGCTACCGAGGGCGTCCTTCCTTCCGCTGGAAAGTGCAACGGCAAAATGCTCCTGCCGAAAGGCGCATGCAAGTTGATTCCCGCCTCCCGCTGCATCCTTCCAGTTACAGAAAGAAGGACATGGAACATCGTCATAACTTCAACTCTATTATTTTCCGTCTTCACCTCTTTTTTTCGTCTCCTCTTGCCAACCACCAAGAACAACTCCCAAAGTCCCAACCACCATCCGCCATCATCGACAAACCCTACACAGGATACCCCCGTCGACGCTCTCTTCCCTCTTTCGTCCCTAGTTCGGCCCCGTCGTCTTTTCTTCGTCTTGTTCGCCGGCCTCTTCCATCTCTCATCCATGCTGTCAATCCTCCGCAGCATCCATCATCGCTGCTCGCTGCTCGCATGATGACCCCGTCCACCAGCCAAAGAAGAGACGGCATCGCCGCCAGTCATGCTGAGCCATGCTGAAGCCATGCCCATGCGAAGTTCAGTCTCCGGCACTTCGGTCGACCTTCCCGAACCACAGCCACGCACAGTACCCCGAGTCAGCTCTCTTCTGCTGCTCAGTCCAGGACAATACCGACGCATATTGGCCAGCTCGTGTCGAGAGTCGCTCTTCCAAGGATAACCAGGACGAAATACCAAGGCCATCCGGGCCATGAACCAAGCACTACAAGGCCACCACCAGGGCAATTCCACCTCGACTCCAGGCCCGATGACGCCTGCTCCCTTCCCTTACCGCTCATCAACAGCCCGATCAATGCCAGCCATCGCTTGCCCGGCTGGCCTGGTCTACCGTCGTCATTGCACATGTCGACCCAACTCTATCTCCTTGTCAACACCGACCGGGTTCTCCCCGCCTTTGTCTGCCTATCGCAGCCCCCGCGTCTTCCAGAATTTCTTATCAGGAAAAAAGGAAAATCGAGGCACGAGGACACTCGATAAACAGCCATCGCCTGTCCGCCTTGGCCGTGTCTGTTGCGGTGAATCGCCAGCTGCCAACTGCTTCCCCAGTCGCAGCACAATGATCAGCAATGCAAGCTCCACACCACGCGCGCAATGCCACTCGCCAGCAGCTTCTGCGACGGAAATACATTCGCCCAAGAACCTCACGTCGGCTTGCCACTTTGAGCCATCATCGTGGCCTCGCAGTTCCAACATACTGTGTACGCTGTGTCGTTGCTGCTGCATCTGCCTCCGGTTCTCGGTGGCCCGTCGTCCAAGATCAACATCTTCACTCCGGACACCGGGAATGAGGCAAACACCATCGGCAGACCTTCAAGCAAGAGGCACGAGGCGTGGGGTCGAACCTGGCAAAGCGGGCGTGCCTTGAGTTCCCCCTTGCACAGTAAAAAGCATGATGGGTATTGGCGGCGATGGCATGCTCACTAGCGTCTTATCCACGACTTGTTCAATCTTCGCCCGTCGCTAGCCTGGCCTTCAAGAGTGCAACCAAACACCATGGCCAAGAGTTCAATTCCATGGTGAGAGGCACCGCTGGTGGGATGGCAGGCCAAGGCACGTCCACCATGCCAGGCTTCAAAAGGTGCACAGAACGGGAGCATCGTCGGTGGACCTGAACCTCAACTGCGACGAGCACACGACTGAGACTCGAACGCGCATTGCATGCTCGTTTTGTCTCGTGGTTGACAACGCACCATCACACACACGATGCAATGCCGCTGCTGCAGCCACTGCTTCTCGACCATCGTGCTCCTCCTATCACGGATGACGATAGACTTCGGGCTTAATTTCGTTTGTCGATCATGGACCAGGAGAGGAATGCCGCATGCATTTCCTTCTAAGCGTTGCGTCTATTGCCGCAGCACCCACACAGAGCCATTCCACGAGACCACGAGCGCACGACAGATCAGACGGCAGGCGATGGCATTCCTGACATGAGCCTACTGTTGCGTACCAAAGACGAACGACGTCCGACGAACCTGCCGGAGTCCGGAGTCTGGAGTCCACGGCTGTTTGCGACTCGTCGCAGGCCCTAGAACACAGTGTTGACAGCCCTTGTCTTTGTCAAGTTTCCCCTCAGTGGCGTTCGGTCCCTTTGATTCGAAACATAACAAACCATTTCTGGAAAACGTCGACACAGTGTTCTGCTCCTCTGTTCTCCGGACAAGCCGGCCAGACATTGAACGGGCGCCGCTGCTGACCGCTTCCAATCTTCACCTTCCAGTTGACCAACATCAACCTTACTTGCATCACACTGATTGCAGGCCGACGGAACTCGCGGGGTAGACATTGGATCGAACGAAAAGTACCACGCGTTACTGTCTGACTCCGGCGCGTCCAGCAGCATCGCTTGCAGGGTCAAGCTTTTCTTGCCGCCATATCCACTTGTTTAGCTAATTATCCTCCGATTTAGCATGTCGTACGGAGCACCATGGCGGCAAAAGGAGAGGAGATTCGCAAAGAAGGCATCCCGACAGGCGCCCATCGCAGGACAAGTCATCAATAAGGAGTTGGCAGATGTAACCTCAGGTGCTCAGCTACCCCCACTTCGTCCCCGGGTCTCGAGCATTGAAGACTGAGAAGGAAAAAGGAGCTAGGCGGAGAGCGGTAAAGCAAGTCGATCTGCCTGTCGGCATTTGACCGTTCCCAGCGCGCCGCCCTGCTGCCAGATTACCTCCCATGTCACAGCCGCTCCTCCAGGACGCTGACTCGAGATGCCGTGGAGAGCAATTTGCAATGACAATGTCTGATTCGTGGTACGGGTGAGAATCGCTCGAAAAGAGTCAGTCGTGTCTCTTGCCGGCGAGCGCAACTGACGAGACGCAATTTCATCAACTCTTCTATCAACTATCAACGCCAACCAGCCGCTCCGAACATGTTGCTGAGATGATCTGACTGCTACGAAGCATCCGGGAATAAGCTTCAAGGCGCCGCTTCGCGCAGCACAGTAGCACAGCAGCATGCTCCTCATGCAGCTCGAAGGTCACCTTCTTCCCCTCCTTGATCATCTCCCCTCCATCAGCCAGAGCAGCAAAGCTTGGCAGTCCACGGTCATGTCGCGCCGTGATTGGCGCCCTGCAGACCGTTATATTTCTGCGGCTGCGTAGCGGGGTTGAGCAACCCCTCGCTGCGCTCGCTTTGCTGGCCGTCGCACTGTGACGCCGAATCTCGAAGGCGGTCTGGCTGCAAGTAGCTACCCCTCGAAGCTGGCGCAGCCGTCTGGACAGGCAGATGAGGCGAGACAACGTAATAGTGCCAGGACGGCTCCGTGCGATGCGGATCTCCCGGTGGGCATTCCAAAGCCAATTTGAGTTTTGCAGCGGCGGACTGACTGTTCGGTGGACACGCGAGACGGAATCGCCTTGGGCCGGCCGAGAAGACTTTTTTTTGGTCTCTTTGATACCGAGAAAAGCAGAATTTTCAGGAGAATTTTGTTTCTCTGCTAATCTCGTCGATTTGGTACCGCCGAGCTGGACCCGGCCCGCGATCATCCATTCCTCGATGGAGTCCCGTCGTGCCCAGCAAAATAAGGAATTGGGTTCCTTGCACAATCCACATGTCGCCTCGTGAGCCATCTGAACCATTTTCATCCGTACCAATCACGATTCACCAATCGCCAATCACAAACCGGCACCGACTTGGAGGACACACCCCGGCGAGCCAACATTGATCAAATATCACAAACCTGGCACTGGCAACATGGCGTGCTTTCGACCTCCTCAGCGTCTGGCAGAGATGGCCGAAGATACTCCAGCGCCGTCGCAAATGTTGCAAGCAGCGTGGTCATCCCAACCTTGCTGTGAAGGACACCGACGATTCATAGCATAGCCTTAGAGGCCATTCGGCACTTTGGATGATTAATGCTCCCAGGATCCCAACTTGGCGCGAACGGTGCTGGAGTTGCGTCGAATTTCGGTCATGAGTCGTGTTTGTGGAGTAAAGAGCCTCATTTCTGTCTTTGTCCATCGAGCCATCGTACTAGCATCGGGAGCTGGTGAACCCCTGGCGGACTTGATTCCCCTTTCGAGTTTCCGCATCTTTCGACCCCCATCAACCCGTCATTGATCTTACCGAGATTTGAACATCGGTGTCTTCGGTGAAGGCATCAGTTGCCGCCCTGCCGGCCCTGGAGGTGAAATACTGGTCGTTCACAAATTTACTGGCCACCGAGTCGAACGTCGTGTGTGGTGTCGCGACGCTGCATTATGCACGGCGGCTCATCAGCTCAAGCTGCACTGCCAAAATCCTCGACGGCATCTGTCCGGTCCCAGGTCTGGGTCTCTAATCGGCGAAGCGCCTGGTTCATGTTGCGATAGAGCGCCACCATGCCGGAAGACTCGTGATTGAGGAGGCGTCCCATTTCGTGGACAAACCATTTCATTTCCTTTTCGCGCTGCCACGGTCTGAGCCTCATGATGACATGCGCTTCCGCGATCAACGTATTGGTCCTGTGAGACCATATCGACACGGCGAGAGTGAACCTGTAGTCATCGTTCACTTGCTCGAAACTCTCGAGCCTGGTGTAAGCAGAAACATTCTGCACCGCGCGAGTATACTTCTGAACAGCCTCTTAGCACAAGGCACGCGGGGTCACGGTCGAATCGGGAGCTACTCGCCTCGGACTGGATAACAGGCCAGTTGATCTTCCGAATCGTGAGGGGTGGGACGAGAACGACGCGGATGGCGGGATGCCCCCCGAGGTTGTGCGCCCTCCTCTGCCGCGTTTGAAGCTGATGCCACTTGGCCCTGATACCAGGGTCGGCCACCTCGAGCTGGTACCCCAGGAACTTCAGGGCGGCCCTCTCTGCGATCGCCGGCACGGGGAACGACCGCGGGATGGCCTGGTATGAGAAAACACGGCATCGTCAGCAAAAGGCGCATTCTACAACGTGCGGCGGGCGTGGCGTGACAAGCTCACCCCCCAGACCTCCGAGTCGGGCTCCCAGCTGGCGTCCTTCTTGGACCGGTCGATTCGGTCGCGGTGCACGGCGGCGGGGTCGATGATGGCGTTTCCCTGGCCCATCTGGATGTCGGCCCAGTCCTGGGCGACGATGCCGGCGAGGCGCGCCGCCTCGGCCGTCTGGGTCTCGTCGCAGCCGAAGGCGAGGCACTTGCCGATGCGTCGGAGGAAGTCGGCGGCGCTGCCGTAGGACGGCTTCTCCGGTCCTTGGCGCAGGAAGCGGCGGAACACCTTTTCGGCCGACATTTCTTTGTCCTGCTCCTCGTCCCGGCCTTCTGTCCCGGCCGTATCGGCGTCCACGTCGTCGGCATCGAAGTCGTTCTCCGGGCTCGTCGAGGGCTTCGGGGGTGTTGTGCGGGCTCCTAGGCTGTAGAAGCGCGTGGGCGTTTGCGAGAAGGGCACGGCGGGGGGGATTGCCCGGCGCGGACGCGGCGGCGGTGTGCTGTGGAGCACCGCCATTCGAAGCGCTCTCGCAGCAATCATTCTCGCGGCCTGTCGGTCGTCGTTCGGCCCGTTGCTCGCTGTCGTCCAAGTCGTCGACGGGGAGGTGACAATAAATCGTCGCGAGGCTGTCGGAGCTCGATGGCGAAAGAGGGCGTCTTTGGCGACTGATAAGATAACGGGGAAGCTCCCCGAGCTCTGGCCAATTGGGATGACGCATTGAAGCGCTTTTACGGGGCTGTGCAGGGACGACGGGGTTGTTGCATCATTCGCTGCGCTTTCGACCTCATCGAACCCCGGCTTCTTCAAGGTCGCCACCACCATTCAAGCTGCGAACAATCGACACCAGCGACGACGACGTTCCGGTTTTGAAGCGTCGTGTCGAGCGGTTTCTTCAACATGAGTGCTGTTAGTAATGAGCTGAGGAGACAGGTCATTGCCATTTACAAAGGTGCGTTATGATTTCGTTGTGGGAATGGTATGTCGTTGGAGTTTGAATTTGAATTCAAGATTTACATCCAGCCTTCGAATGGCTTTTTCTATTTACAACTTTGTTGGATCTTTCATCGTACTACATAATTTGCGAGAACGTGGTTTACGTCCAGTGGAAAACGTCCATGGTACACTCTAGACATCACCATCACTCAACAAAGACCATCGAGCGCACCACCACTCTATCTTCACGCCTTCATACCAAACGTCAAGACTCACTTCCCAACACATCACTAACACAACAACCAGAACTCCTATTCCTCGGACGAGAATACCCCCTCGGATACGACTACTTCCGCCCCCGTCTGCACCGGGCCTTTAGCGCGAATGCGGGGCTGCGCGACGAGGAGGCGATTCGGAGGGGGATCGAGAGGGCTGAGTATGTCAAGAAGGGTGAGTTCGTTCTTTGCTTTGTACGCATCGTTTCCAACGCTAGCTTGGTTTTTCGTTTGGTGCTGCGGTTCTTGGTGGTTCGTTGTGCGATTGCTGGGTTCGTCGAGGATATGGCGAGTCGGGATGGGAAGGGGTTGATGGGAGGGAGAGCTCAGATAGTCTTGGGTTTGTGCGGTATCAAGTTCTATGGCCGCCGCTCATTGTCCCGATTCCCCGCAAGAAGAAGTCCTCAGGTTCAAGATGGACCTTGAAGACGCTGGTATTCAGATCGTTCATACTCGGAAGTTCTGGTCTGGACATGGAGGGAGTCGTCATCTGCTCGACATCGAGGGCAGTCACCGCGCGAACGAAGTTACGTGTCCGGAGAAAACCCGTCTGGATGTTCAACGATCAAGGTCCACACGTCCACGCGGGAGAGACCGAGGCCCGTCAGCCTCCTGTGAGAATACCTCTCTGGGGTACTTCGCAGAGACACAAATCTCTCAACCACTGCCCAATCTCAAAGATTATCAAAACTCGGCCCGCACATGGGAGCGTAGTTCGCGCCGTTACGATATCCGTCGGAGCCCGGGCCTCGTGAGGCCTACCACATCATTCAGCGGACTGGATTCTTACGGTCTTGAATCGTAGATCAGGCCTATTTGGCCGGCTAGTAGTCGGCAGACGGCATTTCGATCCTCGGCAACTGCCTGCTCATCCGCGTCAAGATGACGACCCAAACATCATCCCTCGCAAGCAGCGCATCCCAAGTATAAAAACCTCTCTCTCGTCCCCCTCGCCCTTTAAGTCTTCACGATGGACCTGCGAAGAGACATGGCCAAGGCTTTCCCACACACACCATTCTCAACCTCACGAGGACTCAAACGGCGCAAAGATTCCCTCATCTCGACACAACACGTCCTCGCAAGGCCGAGATGGCTCCGCTCCTTCCCATATCCCTCCCTCACCAGCTTTGAAGACTTCCTTCCCATTCACGATACGGGGAGGATGCCGTGAAGGTCATCTGAGCCAGAACCATCCTCACGAGGTCCAGGACCCAAAAGTCAAGACTTCCAAATACCCAAATGCCCCTCGCTCGTTCCATGCTCTGTTACAGCTGTCATGGATTTTCATATCCATCCCGCATTCACTTCACACGGGGGAATTACTTCGTGCTTTCTTTCGTATTATTATTTTCCGAGGTATCCCCAGAGCTATGCTGACTAGAAGCTGAACAATAGAAATCGAGGCGTTGTAAGTTCTTCAAGTCTTTTCTTCCTCCACGGCCATGTTGCGCAACGCAAGCAAGCATCCCTCTTCCAATCCATCCTTCAGTCTGGAGAGTACCACGCCACAACTCCGAGCACCAGACACAACGTCATTGTCATACCGTGTCTCCCTTGCTTGAATTCCCTACAACGCAACCCACTACCCACCTAACAAGCCTCACTTCGCATATCACAAATTCGCTAAGGTAGATGATATATGTAAATCTTGATAGATATGTGATGTAGATAGATGATGATGGTGATGATGGGGTATCTCGATGTTGAACAGGACCTCAACCTTCCTCTCTCCCTCCCTCTCTTCCTGTCACTCTCCTCCTCCTCCTCCTCCTCGCCTTCACTTCTCTTCCCCGCTTCCCACACCGAGGCGCTGATGAAACCTCGCAGGTACTACCTCAAACGCTACCGAACGCTAAGGAAGCGGTACGTCCCCGGGGCGTGATCCGCCTCTGGCCGGGGATGATGGGGGATTTGGTATGCGAAAGAAATACAGAGAGATGATGTGTATATATATAGCTCCTCCGACAGTAATGCAAACTCCGATATCATCAAGTCGTGTCAAGGACCCTACGTGCATCCCGACTGCGCTGTGCTCGCCGCGCTACCTCCTCGTGGCCCACCAGGCGCCGACCTCCAGACACTCGCCCCAGCTGGTGCCGTTCTCCCTGGTCAGGTCGTTCATCATCTTGCCGATCCATGCGTCCCACTCGTCCTGGCTCTTGCCCGAGGTCTCGCGCAGGATGGGCTCGAGGCTCTGGATCTGCTGGACGACGGTCATCATGGCGGTGCGGCGGAGGGCGGCCTGCGCCGGTGTGAGGGTCTTGCGCTGCGCGTCGGGCTTGGCCTTGCCCTTGCCCGTCTCGATGTACGACTTGCCGTCCTTGGTGACGACGCCGCCGACGCCCTCGCGCTCCCAGCGGACTTCCGACAGGGGGATCGCCAGGCGGCGGTTCTGTACGTCCTTGACGTTCTCGAACTCCTGCACGAGCGCGGGGCCGACGAGGGTGCAGGGCACGGGGCTGAGGTTGCGGGACTCGAGGGCGCGGTGGACCCACGAGTTGTACTCGACGAGGTAGTTGTTGAGGGGCGCGCTGAGGGGCGTTTTGGAGGAGATGGGGTAGGCGCCGAGGGCGACGGCGGCGGCGCCCTCCTCGCTGTCGAGGGAGAGCGGCGCGGCGTGGGGCCGGAGCATGCGGATCTGGTGGTCGCTGTCCCAGAACTCGAGGATGCCGCCGGGGCGGAGGACGCGGAGGTACTCCTCGACGGTGGCCTGGATGGAGTGCGGACTCGTGACGACGAGGCTGAGGTCCTTGACCATGACGAGGTCGAACTCGCCGTCGGCAAAGGGCCATGGCGTCTGGCGCATGTCGTGCTGCACGAAGCGCCACTTCATGTCGCGGTCCACGTCGCCGGCGGTCGCGCCCATCGGACCGATGTCCATACCCGTGTACTCGGTGTCGGTGTGGCCCTTGCCCTTGAAGTAGCGATGGCACATCTGGCTCCAGAAGCCGGAGCCGCATGCGACCTCGAGAACGCGACTCGGCGGCTTGACGCTACCGCTCGTTTGCGAGCACAGCGGCGACCCGAAGACCTGGATCAGCATCAACGTGCGCATCGACTGGCGGTGGATCTCGGCGAGGTCGACGGGCAGAGGGTAGGCGAGAGAGTTGTCCGAGAGGTAAGTGCGGCCGTTCTTCAGCACGAAGGGGCGGGCGGCGTCGAAGGATGACGTGGGGTCCGTCGAGGTCATTGTGCGGGCCGAGATGGACGCCGTCGACGGCGCGGCCGAGGACAGGCTGTCGGTGCGGGAGAAGGGGAGAGTGCCTGCGGCCTTGGCGGCAGTCAGGTGACGACCCGAGATGTCCATGTCGAGCATGGCGACATGTTTCAGCTCCGACGGAGTCAATCCGATACTGCGAGGGGTCGGCGGTGGTTGAAGGGCCAGCTTCGCGTAGGAGCTGAGGCTGCCGCTTTCCTTGCGGAGGCGCGCCGGCGCTCGGGAGCGGAGGGTATGGCCGTGGCCGTGGTCGCCGGCGACGCGTGTCTCCTGCAGCGAGTGGTGGTGCTTGTGCTTGTGTTTCTTCGGTGGTGACGACGGAGAAGCGGGCGCGCGCGAGTCGGTGGGCGACGCGGTCTGCGGGATCGAGAGGGTGGTCGAAGTCGATGTCTCGTGGGAGGAGCGAGAGGCCGATGACGAAGAGGAAGTGCGGATGTGGTGCAGTTGGTGGTGGTGAAACTGGTGTCTCGACCTGCTCGCGGGCGGCAGGCGGGACGAGTCCGCGGGGTTTGCCTTGGAGATGGGTGGTGTTGAGGCGGCGGTGGGTGTTGGCGGCGCCGAGGCAGAAGCGGAGGCAGAGGCAGAGGGTGGTGTGTTTTGCGATGCGGACGACGTGTTTTTTGTGGTTTTGGGCTTCGCCTTTGCCCTGGTCGACTCGACGTGGGAAAAGACGGGAGGTAAAGGGGCGAGACTGGTGTACATGTATTGGGACATGTTTGCAGAATCTGTTTCTGGTTTTCTGGGGCTATTGGGTCCCCATCCGCATGCCCTTGTTTGTGTGAGTAGTCAGTCTCTTTGGGTCCCCGTCGGTTGGGTCCCTCCTCCTCCTCCTTCGTGTGCGGTTCTTTTGGTATTGGGGGACGGACGGGACTTCTGCCCTGGCCTTCCTTTCTGGAGACTGGGACCGGGAGGTCGAGGAATCTCGCAGAAAGGAGCTGCTCCAGTACGAATGGACGGGGGGCCTCGATTCAATTGCGGTGGTGGTCTCAGTCTGGTTATGTCTGGTGGAGGAGCGCAGCGCGGTGGGCAAGGTCGAAATGGTCGCTGCGACCTTGCTTTGGTTGCTTGCTTGCTTGTGCTTGCTCCTCCTGCTTCTTGTCCTCCTCCTCCTCCTCTTCTCGGCGGGAGAGTCTAGGTGTGTAGGTGATGGTCAAGGGTGGGTTGAAGGGGTGGAGGGGGGTGTCGGTGGAGGGAGAAACCGGGGGGGAATTGGAAGGGGGGAGAAAACGGGAGGTGAATGGGGGGGGTTTGTTTTTTTAATTTAGCATGCCCGTCCACCGGAAAGAA